TTGATCTTTTAAGATTTATGATCTTTCAATTTTTTTGATCTTCCAAGATTTATGATCTTTCAAGATTTATGATCTTTTTAAGATTTTTGATCTTTCAAGATTTGCGATCTTTCAAGATTTTTGATCTTTCAAGATTTATGATCTTTTAAGAAATTTAACTTTCAAGATTTTTATCTTTCAAGATTTTTATCTTTCAAGATTTTTATCTTTCAAGATTTTTATCTTTCAAGATTTTTATCTTTCAAGATTTTAATCTTTCAAGATTTTTATCTTTTAAGATTTTATTTTCAAGATTTATGATCTTTCAAGATTCATGATCTTTCAAGATTTATGACCTTCCAAAATTTATGATCTTTTATGATTTCACGGAAGGATTTATGATCTTTCATTTCAAGACACATTGGCAGAAATATCTAAATATCAAAGATAAATAATTGAAAAATATAAAAATAAATAAAAAGATTATTTATGAGTTTGATTGATGCATGAGCTCTTTGCATAAAATTTGTTTAACGATTTATTTGTTGTTTTATTACTGGTAATTTCTGGTAATTTGACATTATTTATGCATGAAACCATGCTCCATGTAGACAGGGCGTCTAAAAAACATTGGAAATAAAACCCTTACTCAGTTATTTGAAAATACACAAAATAGCCGATATTTTATTTAGAACCACAAATTCATTGTGCACGGTCTTACGCAAAGATCGAGCAGTATTTTGCCATGATTACTCATTTTTAACTTCAGCATCAGAAGCTTTATTATATCATAATTTTTCTTTTTTTACTTTAATAAATGTTTGATAAAGTGAATTTTTTCGCAACATTTGCGCATTTTTTCCCCCGAAATTGTTGCATTTATTTTTTCGCGAAAATTTGACATTTTTCGCGAAATTTTACGAAGAAAAAAGAAAAAAATTTCAATTTTCGCGAGAAAACGAAATGTAAAATATTTTCGGCCAACATTTTTTTCGTTATAGTACCTCCGCAAACAGATCTTCTTGCTAAATAAAAAATCAAATCAAATAAAATAAAATAAAATCAAAAATTTTAAAAATTAAAAATTAAATAAAATAATAAAAGACCAATTTACACAAAACACAGACGCTCAAATACATTAAGATTTCCTTATTGGTTGCATTGTATAATCTGATTTGTTTTGATTGCTTGAAAATTAAATCCAACAGAATTTATAGTTTGAAATATCTAAGGTCTCCGACGTTGGGTTGCAAAGATATAGGGATTAGAAAACTTGAGTTTGTGACAAAGACTCAATTCCTTTAGAGAATCGTCCGATGTTTATTGGGACTCTCCGTATAAAATATGAAAAAGATTTATTTTATTTTTAATATTCTAATTATGTATTCATGCATGTAGAAAAGGGAATTATGTCATTATCAACACATTTTTATATTTCGAGGCAGCCATGGACAATTTCATGAATTGTCTAGCTCATCATTTTATTTTACAGTCACAATCTTTTAAAGGGATTGCAGTCGATTTTAGAAATTTAAAATTAGAATAATAAATTTAAAGAATTGTTCATGATTTTAAATTAGATTAATAAATTCAAGGGATTGTTTATGATTTGAAATCATATTGATGAATTCAAGGGATTGTTTATGATTTAAAAGTAGATTAATAAATTCAAGGGATTGTTCATGATTTAAAATTGGATTAATAAATTCAAGGCATTGTTCATGATTTGAAATTGGATTAATAAATTCAAGGGATTGTTCATGATTTTAAATTGGATTAATAAATTCAAGGGATTGTTCATGATTTTGAATTGGATTAATAAATTCAAGGGATTGTTCATGATTTTAAAATCAGTAAAAAAAAGACTACTTTGATTGGAGCTTGAATCTTTAGGTTAAAAATGAATATGCTTGAAAAAAGGGTTATATATATTTACTAACGTTCTAACGTCAAAAAACGTTCTTAAAAATGGTCCAATTATTATTCCAAAACAGACCATTCCTAAATTCATATTCTTTTCTTCATATTTATACTCTCCTTACATATCTGTTAAGCTACATCCCCTAATTTTTCTTACGAGCCACACTTTCCTCACTTCTCTTCCGAGCCACCACACTATCCTCACTTCTCCTCCGAGCCACATTCTTCCCTTTACTTCTTTCCCTCGTTAATCGGTTAGTTGGATGTTCAACGCTTAAAACAAGGTAGGTTTCCATTAATAAATAATTCAAATACAAGTATTACATGATAAACATCAAATCTGGATTCTCATCCAAGTTTCTTTAATTTTGGTTTCTATTGTAGTTCTGCCAATTATTCTCCATGATTACAGTTGAGTTGCAGGATTGCAGAAAAGTGCATGGAAAGCCTCTGATTGCATTCCTGACCTTGAGGATTATGTATAGAAAGAGAACCCATGAATGATTAAACTGCATCAGGCTTGAACTGCCTCCATTACGACGTAAATCAGGCAGTGCATGAAAGCATTTGACTTAGTTTATACCTAGGCTTTAGCTTATTAAATAGTTAGCTTAGTTTATACCTAGGCTTTAGCTTATTTAATAGTTAGCTTAGTTTATACCTATGCTTTAGCTTGTTAAATAGTTAGCTTAGTTTATACCTAGGCTGTAGCTTATTTAATAGTTAGCTTAGTTTATACCTAGCCTGTAGCTTATTGAATAGTTAGCTTAGTTTATACCTAGGCTTTGGCTTATTGAATAGTTAGCTTAGTTTATACTTAGGCTTTAGCTTATTAAATAGTTAGCTTAGTTTATACCTAGACTTTAGCTTATTAAATAGTTAGCTTAGATTATACTTAGGCTTTAGCTTATTAAATAGTTAGCTTAGTTTATACCTAGACTTTAGCTTATTAAATAGTTAGCTTAGTTTATACTTAGGCTTTAGCTTATTAAATAGNTGAGTATGGATGGTTTCAGTTGTATCCCCTATCCCCTTATTTTCCTATAATTCCCCTCCTTCTTTAAACTAGGTTATTTCCTAAAGTGTTTCCCCTCCTGTTTTTTTCTTCATTCATCCCAGTACCATTTCATGCACAAACTCTTTCATTCCAACAAACTCATGCTTTACTTCCTTTCCTTCCTTTCATCAAACTCATCCTTTCGACCTTCCTTTCAACAAACTCATCCTTTACTTCCTTTCCTTCCTTTCAGCAAACTCATCCTTTCCTTCCTCCCAACAAACTCTTTTTTCCTCCCTTCCAAAAAACTCATCCCTTCTCCCTTTCCAAGAAACTTGTCTCCACCCCACACCACCCCTTTATTCATGCTGAACCTTTTCTTTAAAAAAAAGTTGATGATCAAGTTATGAATATTGAATATTGAATATTCAAAATAAATGCAATTTTAAACTTAAATTGCCCGATATTGGTACTTTTTGCAATAACTTAAGTATGCAGTGTGAACGCTATTTTGCACGTGCAAAGTAGACAAATAAATATTTTGTGGCCGATAATTAGGCCATTATATCATTATTAAAATTAATATTAGGATCTTGCAAATAGCTATAAGTGAGAATTTCAAGCATACAATGTCTACTAATTAATTTTGAAAGTACGGTAATTTATTGAAATTGCATTGTACACTGTACAGTTCATGTTCATGGAATATTAAATGTTCCAAATGAATTGTACAATACTAGAAATTCAAGGCGCTTAGCGCCCTTCTTTCTAGCCTTAGAGGGCGCTTCGCGCCCATCTTCTAAATTAATTGTGAACATGTTCTCTTTGTGTACATCGTAAAACAAAACAAAAATAATTCGCGGATTTTCACAAAAAATTTCGTGGTTTTTCAAAATTTTTTAAAATTTAATGACGATCGAATTTTGATTGAGAAAAATATTTAAAATTTCAATCATTCATAAACCTTCCCTGGGGTCCCTAGATGTCCCACAAAAAATTTGGGCCCGATCGGTTCAGCCGTTTTGACGTTTATTGGATACAAACAGACAGACAGACAGACAAACAAACAAACAGACAAGCCAAATTTATATATAGATATGTTGTGCATTACAATGTTTCTTCTCTTTTCCTGTTTTCTTATCTTTTTCAAACTTTTCACCTTTTTATCCTGTTTTCCTTCAACCAATCTTTCTTTTCTTATTCTTCTTCATTTCTGCCTCTCTTATGTTCCCTTTATTCCATCTTTCATACAGTGGTAGGCCATTATATCAATACAATGAAGACAATTTTTTATTTAAGTTTTGATTGTCAAGAAGCATTTTTTTATTTATAAGTTTACAAGTAAAAGAAAGGGGAAACTTTTTTAATAGACAGCTTCTCTTGACTTCTATGTGTATCCATGCTGTTTATAATTCAGCTTAATATAAATCTAAATTGAAAACTTACGTCGTCTTCATTGTATTGATATAATCGCCTACCACTGTATATTATTTTCTTAATTTATTTGAATCCCCCTCACCTCTTTTACTCAATATCTTATTTTAATTTTCACTTTTTCTTTATTTCTGTTTTTTTCTACCATACCATTTTTCATTGATCATTATCCTTCATTTCTGTTTTTCCTTCTATCCATCTTCTTTTTTAGTGTCTTTATTTCTACCACTCTTAAATGTTACCTATCATACCATATTTCTTTGATCATTAACTTAACTTCTCATTTTCCTTCTATCTTTCTTTCTCTGTTCACATCTTTCTTTTGTTACCCTGTATACATTCAATCTCTATATTATCATTCTCATTAACTTAGATTTTTCCCTTCGTTTCATTTTCCTTTTTCCATGGGTCTTTATTTCTACCGCTTTTTTTACCCTCTTTACAGCTTTTCTTAAAATTTTCTATTGATCTATATATGCCTTCCTCCCTTCTACTCATCTTCCTTTTTTCATTAATCTTTTTGTATTTCTCTTTCTCCATATTCTTGTTCTCAATTATTTCTTTTTCTCTTTTCCCCTTTTCTTGTTGTCAAGTATTTCTTTTTCTTTCTTCTCTTGTTCTCAAATATTTCTTTTTCTCTTTTTACCATTTCTAGTATTCAATTATTTCTTTTTTTCACTTTCTCTTTCTCCCTTTTCCAATTTACTCTATCTCTTTCTCCCCTATAACAGGTATCCCCTGTTATCTGTACCTACGCCTTCTTAAATCACGAAACAGTTCTAAGTTGTGAATAACAGGGAATGTTTAGGGTAGTGTCTAGTATCCTGGGACCACTTTAACTTCAGATCCTTTCCACCACGTCTAATCAATTTCTTACAAACTTTCAGATTCAGGACAATCTGGGGATATCAGTTAAACTGGATACCTGGAGCTAACAGTGAACCTACAGCTAAATTGAACCTGGAGCTAAAAGTGAACTTGGATATGAGTTAAATTTGAACACAACTTATCATTTTTGTTATTATATTTGGATCAGTTGCTACAAGTTATAAGACCTATTAAAAAACTAGTAAACCTAACAAAACAAAAACTAGAAAATACCGATCCAAAATTTAAAAACATGGATACAATTCTGTAAAACTGAAAACAAACCAGTAAACTTTGATAAAGATTATAGATACCGGGATACAAGATACTTGATATGTGAGAAACGTTGAAATCATGAAAGACTTTAAGTAAGAAACTAAAGACACGTTAATTAGCAAAAACCTGAATGCGAGCCTGTCAGCTACCTTATATGGGAGATTTCCGGAGCAGAGTTTAGAATAGAAAGGATTCCGTCCTGGAAAGGTTTAGGTTGAGCTTAGTGTCCAGTATGAAGAGTTTAGGTTTTCTTCTCCTTCTTCTCTCTCTTCTACAATATGCTGGATCTGTTCCGCATGAGGTAAGATTATTAATAGGACCGTAGACGTAATCAACATCCATTTGTTGATTGGCATGTACGATTTACAGCGGTACTCTTTAAACCTTTGTTTGATCAAGATTAAATAAAATATTCTTGTTTTATGCCAATAAGTGTTAATTTTCAATTTCGGGTTCTCCAATCTTCATGCTCAGATGAAGGTTTAAATGTTGCTATTGTGAATCGTATACGGCACTCTACAAATGGAGATTTAGTTTAAATCACGGTTAATATGCACTCCCTTTAAACAAACAAAATATTGGTACTTGACATGACAAATGAGACACTAGATGTTTGATCTATGAAACGTATCTGGTATCCCCCCCCTCCCAAAAAAAAGCTTCCTCGACTGAAAACCTTTCCACAAATAAGTGATACCTTACAAATTTATGGACGTTTTGTCAATTTTGGCGTTATAAAAACAATATTTCACTTATTTCAAAATAATAATAAGATGCAAGATTTGGAATAAACATAACTTACTGATCCCTTAAAGATTTTTCAAACGGCCAGATTGATCGAACCTTGCAGTAATCATTTCTATCGCATTTTTGAACTAATTAGAAAAGATTTCAGGGTAGTTTCCTCTCTGAGACGATTTACATTGCACAGAACATGTATTTCGAAATGCTAAAGTAAAAAAAATAAAATTTTTAAATTCAAGAAACAAGAATAAATATTGAGCAAGTAATTATGAATTTGCTCGTCCTAATTATAATTAAAGGGACTGTTAGCAAAATTTCAAATGACCCTACAATGCAAAGATGATTATGTCCGATTAACAACGATACCTTTAAAAGCTTTGTCTAATCAAGAATGAATTATATATCATTGTTTATAACTTTAAAACTGATTCTTTTCATTTGCGGGTTCTGCGCAAAAGTGCTTATCAGAATTACACACTTTTCGACTCAGGAAAACGACTTTATCTTTTCATTTTTGATAAGATAAAGGTTTCAATAAAATACTGTTGTAAATCGGACATTGACACCTTTGTATGGAGGGTTACTTGAAGTTACGCTTACAGTCCCTTTTAAAGACGACTTTTAGAGCCTGGAAGAAGGTGAGAATCCTTGCGTTCACGCACCCTGTGCACACGGAGTATGCGTTCAAAATACAGATGTGCAATCAGGATACAGGTATATAATTAGACAGGTAGACAGGTAGACAGGTAGACAGGTAGACAGGTATATATTTAGACAGGTAGACAGGTAGACAGGTACACAGGTAGACAAGTATATAATTTGACAGGTAGACAGGTAGACAGGTACATATAAATATATAAAACTATATATTTACTAGATGCTATTATTAGGATGGATGGATATAAAACTATATATTTACTAGATGCTATTGTGAGGATGGATATACTGGATACAACTGTGAGACGGACTGGGATGAATGTTGGAACCAACCTTGTCTTAACGGAGGTAAACTATCTTGTTTTATCAAAAGTATAAAAGAAACCCTGCTTTGCCGGTATAAAATGTTTCTTATTTGTCTTTTTTTTTGCCAAGATCATGAAATTGTTCTTAAAAATGAGGAATAAAGATTCTCTCAACAATTGATTGATTCAACAGTAAAGATATTATTGTGTTTAAATAATATTTATATTCCTTTTTTTATGAGTCAGATTTCTCCCTTAAATGTGGCTTTATTCCCCGGAAATTTTTCATTAGCAACTTATTAATAACACATGCATAAAAACTGGTGTGAATAAAGTGGAGCTATTTCTATATGATTATGAAATCTTTTTGGAATTAGAAACATTTTTTTACTGTACTTATTCATATATATTTGAAGTTTTATATTTCAGGAATTTTGATATCAAGGAGTTTTATTATTATTAGGAGTTTTATATTTCAGGAGTTTAATATTTTAGGAGTTTTAGTTTTAGGAGTTTTATATCTTATGAGTTTTATATTTCAGGAATTCTTATTTTTAGGAGTTTTATATTTTAGGAGTTTGTGCAGATGGTATTGCTTTCTTCAACTGCGCATGTCCCGAAGGTATAGATAGAATTAAATTAAAAGAATAGATAATTAAAATAAAATACAACTAATTAAATAGTAAAAAAGCATTTTAAAAATTATATTAAAAATCAAATTAAAACAAAGAAAAAGGGGGTTGGAATACTCTCTGTATTTTCCGTTATTGGAAACCATGTTTGTTCTAGTGTAATAATCTAATCTATATCTCTGTACTCTGTCCTTTTTTTTGAATCCATGTTTATACATTATAATTTGTTTTATATTTACTCTTTTCTTATTTTTCTTATTTACACATCAATACTGGTTCTTTTTTTTACTAATGGTGATCTTTGTTGTTAAAGCTGTTTGTCTTAAAGGGACAGACCGGCTGTCCCTTTAGTGCTATTTTTAAAAGGGACAGACCGGCTGTCCCTTTAATGCTATTTTTAAAGGGACTGTCTTTGTAATTGCAATTGACCCTCAATTTAGAGGGAATTGCCTGATTTACAACAGTACCCTAGAAATCTGATCAATAATGTGGGATAAATCGTCGTTTTTATAGCTTGGAAGTTGTTTAACTATGACAATTTCCATCATTGTTTCTGTAGCAAAAGTGTGCTAAGTTAATTCTGGGGAGAAAGCACTATTAAAAAATAATCAATGTTTCAATAGATAACCATGAAAAGCACTATTAAAAAATAATCAATGTTTCAATAGATAACCATGAAAAGCACATAAATTGTCGATATGACAGAGCGTTTAAGGGTACCATTGTGAATCGAAAAACCGCTCTTTATTCTAATAAAGAGTCGCTTCTATGAAACTAAGTATAAAATCCCTTTAAAGGATTGAGTCCTTGGACCGAAATCAAATACTTAAACCTCAATATCTTAGAACTCGATGTTGTAATCCTTTGATATTTCAAAATCAAATTATTTGATCTAACAGAATTCATAGTTTGAAATATCTAAAGTCTGCAACATTTGGTTCCAAAGATATAATGATTAGAAAATCAGAGTTTGTGGCAAAGACTCAATTCCTTTGTCTATTTGTTATACAATTTATACTGCTTTATATTTATATTTGAAGAGCAACCCTATGTTTGCTATTTTAAAATAGAGTAAACCTAACTCTAGTTTCGTATTTCCTGCCAGGTTAATACAATTCTCTTTGATCTAGGAGTAAACTAGAAAATTTTAAAACTATAACATTTTCTAACAACTTGGTGAATGTTCAGAAAATGTATAAAACCGAAGTAAAAAGAATGTATTTCAATTTTACTGTTTTCAATAATCATCAAAAGTGTTCCTGTTTTCTTTCTTCCAATACATTGCTTACAAGAAAGAGGAAACAACAGACGACTTCAATCCTTAGTATTAAGTAGTTTTTATGAATACTATTTGCTTTTTTAATATGGAGTAGATTTTATGCAGTAATTGCTGATTTTAATATCGAGTAGTTTTTATGCAGTATTTGCTAATTTTAATATTGAGTAATGCTATTTGTTATTTGCTATTTGCTATTTGCTAATTTTAATATCGAGTAGTTTTTATGTATGTGCTGTTTGCTGACCGGGAATTTCAAAAGTTGAGAAAAATCATGCCATTTCCCCCTGTTTTCCCTTTGAAATTTCCGGATTCAAAAGAGAGTGGAGGGGGGGGGGTTTACCAGATCTGCCCCCATTCTTGGAGGAAATTCTGATCTGACAATATAAATATATATATATATATATATATATATATACAAATATATATTTGTCCATTGTATTTTTTACTAGATTCATGAGAACACACCATGAGTCCATACTAGAAAGAAGGAGAAGGTCAAATTAATGGAAAATTGTTGCTACGACTTTGTGACCTCGTAGCTCCTCTAATTTTGATTTTAAGCGCACGTATGAGAAAAGCAAATATATTTATGGATTCATACTAGAAATTCCAAATATACACTTCTTCTCCGTATCTCTTAAATAAGAGAAGTTGTGATTAAAAACAAAAAATATTTAAACCTAACCTGAAGTTTATTTTAATTTGATAATAAGAGATTTTTTGAAAAGTTTTTCAGTCCAAACAAATCAACCTTTACAAATTTGAGCGGCGGTTTAAATTTTAGCCGCATCTTAAATATGGTTGGTTCCACTTAAAATTGTATCAAATGTTTCAAGATTAATTTAAACCGGGTTTTTTCAGATATAAGCCGCGGCTCAAATTCTTTAAATTCGGCCTCTGGTAATCCAAAATCCTGCTTAATCTGATTTATTAAATTTGTTGCAACTTTTGACGAAACTCTAAATTAAGTTTATAATTATATTTGTTAAAAGTTTCCTGACTCGTAAAGTTTATTTTCCCTTCCGCTCTCTGGGGTACATTTCATTTAAGGCGCTCTCACGCCATTTTTACTCATTGTTGCGGTAGTTTTCGGACATTTTTCTCTTGATTTTATTCGCCATTGGTTAAACTTAGTTTCCATGAAAACCTTAAAAATCAATTTAAGACATTTTTTAAAATGTTGCCGCCTTTTTCATTTAGTTTTGCCGTTTTTGCTATTTTGTACAGAGCTTCTTCTCCATTTTGTTTCAGATTTCTTCTCCATTTTGTTTTTAATTTCTACCATTTTTTTAATATTTCTTCCATTTTTTTTAGTATTTCTTCCATTTTGTTTTAATATTTCTTCCATTTTGTTCTGGTTGTCTCTGCCATTTTGTGAAGAACTTTTCTTCAATTTAGTTTTGAACTTCTCCTATATTTTGTTTTGAATTAATTACTTTGCCATATTCACATCAATTCTTTCTAATTAACGTACTGTGATAACCAAAAAAAAACAATGGACCAGGAAGAAGACATTATAGAAATACTTAAGTGCATTTGAGGTTGTTTCGAAGCAAATAGTTTTATTAAACACTTATTAAATTACTAATTAAGTGAAATGGGTCGTTTAAACTCTTCAATTACTGTGTATCATGCCCATGGGACTATTTAGAGTCATAATTTGAGCCTAAAAGTCGTCTCCCTTTTCCAGAGTTTTCTGGTTATTACTGTACCATTGATAACACATTTTTTTGCTCGTATTATTTTTATGCATTAATACAACTTATATCCAGCAAGTTATTAAGCAATTACTATTCTTATTTATTATATCAAAGTTTGCAATTTTCGGGGAATATTCGTGTAAAGTTGTTTTATTCAATTACTGGTCCATTAATGAAGATCGACAATCTTGATCATAAGGATTTTAAATTGGGGGATTTTCTAAAATCGAAAAAAAAATTTCCGGGCAAATTTTTGCTTATTAAACCATGTTATTATATTAGATATAGATTTCTGGTATACAGTGATGTTCCTAATATGAATGACAGAATAATATGAATTGATTCACAACTTCAAAGCCTTTGATTTTAGGAATACTTTTTTATGAAACAATAATCACAAAATAATCATTATCCTGCCATTTCTAAAATGTGGTCTGCCAGTTTTTGCTCTTAAAAATACCAGGATATTCGGAATTCGGTTTAAATTTTAATTTATAGAATTAAACCATAAAAATGTCTCATTCTGGACGAAATCATTCATATCTCCAGTAATCATGAAAGCACAAAAATGGTAGACCACATTTTGGAAACGGCAGGACTAAGAACTGTTCTGTGATTTTTGTTTCATAAAAATGTATTTCTAAAGCAGGTTACCTGTAGAATGCCTCAAGCTATTAATGAGGGTCAAAGACGACTATGAAGCCATTAATCAATTTATATTCATCCGTGTTAATGTTTTAAAAAAATGTGCATTTTAGATAAATAATAGAGAGTTTTAATTTTAAAATTTTGATATTATACAATATTTGATTATTATAGAGGAAACAGAAATTTTGTTTAAACAAGAAGTATTATAAAACACCCCTTTTATAAGTCCAAAGATGGAATTTAAAGAATTTGAGCCGCGGTTTAAATCTGCCAAAACCCGGTTTAAAATAAGCGCCGGCCTAAATCTTGAAACGTTTGATACACTTTAAGTGGAACCAACCATATTTAAGCCGCGGCTTAAATTTAAACCGCCGCTCAAATTCTTTAAATTCGGCCACAAGGCTGTGAAATGTAAATCGAGTTCATATTAGTGGAATAAATCCTTTATGTCTCCTTTAAAGCGCACATTTAGTAAAATATGTCAGTATTTCTGCATAGAGTGCAGCATACAAATCTGACTTTAATTGGTTTAGATATATCCTGGGAGCTTTATAACGATCTGAGAAACCCAGAGTCTGAAACTTAAGATATAAAAGCATCAACAAAACTTGGTTTCAGAAGAAAATGTGAAGATATAATTTTTTTTCACCAATATTATTGTTTTAAGACGTAATTTAGTGTAACCCTTCATTTATGAAGAGACATGAAATATTCACAACGGTACATTTTAAGCCTTGAAGGTACCATTAAAATATGAAGTTGTTCCTCTTATATATTCTTATCTTAAAAGTGATTATTTAATAGTTACTTGTAGGTTTATGCGGTAGAGAAACAAGAAAATTGTCAGAATTCAACATTTTTCCTTAGAGAAAATCTTTTAGAAAATATAGAAAATCTTATAGAAATATAGAAAATCTTATAGAAATATAGAAAATCTTATAGAAAATACAGAAAATCTTATAGAAAATATAAAAAAACGACAATTACTTCGATCCTCGTTGTTTCTTATATATAGAGCTAGAGATGAGCAAGTTCGCCTTTTTTCATTTCGTTCGTTCATCCTTCGTTCTCAAAATCATCCTTCATTTCCCTTTAGTTTCGTTCGTTTTTTCATTGAACGATCGTTTAGTAAAGTCCTTTGTTCAGGAAAATCGTTCGTCCAATAAAACAATTTGTTCAATAAAACGACTATCGTTTTTTCAAATATTTGTTTTGAAAAAGTTTGTTCCAAAAAATCGTTCGTTCAAAAAAAATCTATCGGTTTTTTAAAATCTTTTGGAAAATGTGTTCGTTCAGAAAAACACGATAGTTTTTTCAAGTTCGTTTTTAAATCGTTTTTTTAATCGTTCGATTTTGTTTTTTCGGTCTCTGATCGATTCATTTCGGTCGTCCATCACCCTATATATGAAAAATTTCGTTCGTTCTCAAAACTTTCGTTTGTTCCAAAAACCGACGACCATACAGTTTCTTAAAATTTTGCATACAGTTCCTTTGAGCATAAAACTGAGCTTTTATCTGCTATCAAGGTGTTGTGAACAAAGTTTCATTCTTTCAAAATCTTTTTAGTTTACAGCTCTAGGTATATATAATAAACATAAATATATATATGATTTAGTTGAATTTTACTACCCATTCTTATACTGTGCAGTATTTTTGTATAGAAAACGAGGTATGCACATTGCACACTGCACAGGGTGTGTGGGACGGTTTAGGAGACTTTTTGCAGTTGGATTCCAGGGGATCACGCTGATTTAGATGTCCTGGTTTTAGAGCCATTGTTCAGTGTTAAATAATTATCACCCATTATTAGTATTCTTAGTTTGTAATTCTTTATGGATACGTTTTGCACTGAGGCTTTCACAGCGAAATTAAGACATGTAGAGCTCATAGTTAGTTTTGCGTGGTTCCGAGCTCTTGTCAACAAACTCTTATCCCAATATATTTGTAACCCGATGTCGTAGACCTTTGAAATAGCAAACCCATCAATTCTGGTATATTAATTAGTTTTAACATATAAGGATAACATACTTAAGTTTATGGCTAAAACTTTTTAAGTTTAGAACGATATTGCAAAAATCATCTTTTTTATTTATATTTAGCAATTTCATATCTTATTTTATATTTCATATTATTTTCCTAACGCCGTTTCTTTCCCCCCTTTTTTTCATTAACTTAACATAGGTTTTTTCGTCTTTTTTATCATTATTATCATTATTATTATTATTATTATTATTATATTTCAGGATTTAACGGTACTCGATGTGAGATAAATATAGATGATTGTTTGTCTGATCCATGTTTTAACAATGGTACATGCATAGACCAGATAGATGGATACAGGTACATGTACACTGTACTGCGAGGGGAATTGAATGATATAGGTAGATGTACAATGTACATTGTACACTGTACTGCAAAGGGGGATTGAATGGTATGGGGACATGTACACTGTACTGCAAGGGGAATTTAATTAAATAGGTACATGTACACTGTACTACAAGGGGGGCAAATTGTTTAGATCTCAACTTTGATTCTACGGCTTTATGTACAAGGTGTGAGTGTGAAGCTGGATTTCGTGGAGTAGATTGTGAAGTTGATATTCAAGTCTGTAATATTACATCAGAAACAGGAGAAAACAGGTATATAGATGGATGGATAGATAGCAAGGACGTAATATTACATCAGAAACAGGAGAAAACAGGTATATAGATGGATGGATAGATAGCAAGGGCGTAATATTACATCAGAAACAGGAGAAAACAGGTATATAGATGGGTAGATAGATAGCAAGGGCGTAATTAGAAATTTGAAAGGGGAGTGGGTATGGATCTTGATTGCCAAAAAAAAAAATTTCAAAATTTCAACCTTTCCTCATTGAAAACTTAAAATTCTTTTTCTATGGCACTGACAGAAGGAGACAATGGTATTTTTCTTTCTAGCAAACTACAAAATCAACCTTTCTGACCTACTAACCACTGTTTGATATATTGATCGAAAATCTGATCCTACATGAAGAGGGGTGCACCCTGTTGCCCTCCCCTCCCTTCAGCTACGGTCCTGTATACTACTCAGGAACTGCTTAAGATTTCCAGTGTAAAATATAAAGTGGTGTGTTATAGCTTTATTGACAAGGCATAAAACACATTGCGAGTATATTAGGGTGGATGGCGTAGAATGCAGCCGAACTGTACTTGCAGAATACTAATATTATATCCACCAGGAGATTATAGTACATATATTGGAAGGAAGGGGATCATCCCCCCCCCCTCCCTACTATTTTTCAGTTTTCCAATATAATATCTAAATAATATCTTAAATAAAATGACAACCCATTCTCCCCTTCTCCTAGAGAATTCCTATCGAACCCTTTGGTTTCCATAAAAGCAATGTGCAGTACGCCTCTAAACAGCAGTCATACGTCTCTAAACAGCTGTCATACGTCTCTAAACAGCTGTCATACGTCTCTAAACAGCATGGACATTTTTATTTGGTTTGACATGAGCAGGATGGTGATTGTTAACATTGATAAAATTTGTTAGTTATTTTTTGATCTCTTTGAAAATTGTACGGCCGTATTAAAGATTTGCAAATGTCTAGTCATAGTCAAAAAGTATGTCGGACAAAAGTCAACGATTGTATTGGGGAGGGTATTTATGGTCTTGGAGAACAGTTTACTTGTAACTGTATTAAATCTTATCTTAGGTGTTCTAATGGTGGGGAGTGTATTAATGGTCTTGGAGAACAGTTTACTTGTAACTGTATTAAATCTTATCTAAGGTGTTCTAATGGTGGGGAGTGCATTGATGGACATGGAGAACACTTTACTTGTAACTGTATTAAATCTTATCTAAGGTGTTCTAATGGTGGGGAGTGTATTGATGGACATGGAGAACAGTTTACTTGTAACTGTATTAAATCTTATCTAAGGTGTTCTAATGGTGGGGAGTGTATTGATGGTCTTGGAGAACAGTTTACTTGTAACTGTACTCATGGCTGGACAGGAGATACCTGCCAGGATAATGTTGATGAATGTCAGGTAAATCAATCAATCAATCTATTCGAAAGTGATTTGATCAAAAAGTTAACATTTTTGAAATGCATTTATTAAGATTTGATCAAGTAAGAATTCATGTGTTCTAATAATCAATTAGTCATTTAATCAATCAGAGATGGAATTTAAAGAATTTGAGCCGCGGTTTAAATCTGCCAAAACCCGGTTTAAATAAAGCGCTGGCTTAAATCTTGAAACATTTGATACAATTTTAAGTGGAACCAACCATATTTAAGCCGCGGCTTAAATTTAAACCGCCGCTCAAATTCTTTAAATTCGGCATCAGCAGGCATTTATTAATTCTAAACAAATAAAGCATTCATTGAAATAATCAATCATGTAAACAACTGATCTAGTATATAATCCATTGATTTATCATTTAACCCATTGATTTAAATTGATTGATCATATATTCTGATTGACATTTTCGCATATAAAGCCAAAGGTTTTTCTAAGTAATTGATTTAAAAGTCACTTTTAATGAGTTTTGATATAATTTTAGGATAATCCATGTTTGAATGGTGGCCACTGTATAGACAAAATAGGTAATTAAAGTTCTTAAAGGGAGTGTTTTGCTAGACATGGTGGTTGAGCTTGAGAATGCAGTATTGTATTCGAAAAGAGTGAAAATTCAATCATTAAAATCCTCCTGGATGGTCCAACCCTGAGGTTGGCAGACCTACCTGACAGGCTGTGGCCATGCACGCCTGCCTGGCGGATTGAACAATCCATGAGGATTTTAATGGTTGAATATTCACACTTTTAGTTCCTTTAACTTTAATTAATAAATTCTAAGTAATCTGTCTCTTGGAGCTGAAGCTGACAGAAAACTAATACAAAACCTGGAATGTTTTCTGCTTGGATCTATGCATTAACCAATCTCGGGATGGAACTAGCGTTGTATAAAACCATTTTATACCTTTAAAACCCTGCAATAATACCGGATACAGATTTACTATCATAGATATTGTTCAGAAAATATTTTTATTCAAGAAGTTGAATTGAGAAAGAGCCTTGAGGGATTGTGAATTGGGGGGAATAAAGAAGTAAATACGCTCTCAAGCGGCATGAAATATCAGAACTTTATTCAAAATCATTCAAAACTTTTCAACTTCAAGCAATAAGACTAAAACAAGCTTTTGTAAACGAGTGGGAGAGGGGGGGGGGTAGAAAAAAGGAAAACTATAATACTGTTTTTGTTTAGGAGATTTCCAGTGTTCCTGTCCCCTCTTCTATGCAGGTCTGTTAAACTTGTTAAAAACTTTTTAATTTTTACCTTTACATTTATGCGGCCTAGAAACTTTTCTTCTGTAGCATTAAACTTTTACAAGCTGTGTAAAAACAACTATAGTAAGTTTAATTTCTGTAAACAAGGCCGGGTGTGTGAAGAGAAACTGGAGCAGTGTGAGGACTCGCCATGTTTAAATGGCGCGCTTTGTCTAATCGAAGACGACAGTTTCCGGTGCTACTGTGTTCCGGATTACCACGGCAAGCGTTGTCAGCACAAGTACAATGAATGCCAGCTGCCACCAGGTAATGAAAAACTAATAAATAATCTTTCAGGTTGAGATTTAAAAAGACTTATTAATTTCCTTTAACCAATAATACTTAATTGTGGACTCAAAGTTGTCCCGTTTCATTGCAAGGTTAACTTTTGAGTTGAAAAATAAGTTTTAAAAAATTGTTGAAAAAGCTTCCTTAAATTTTATTCAATTCATCACTCAGCCTTTTAAACATCAATGGAATAAAAGAGCCTCTGATAGAACGAATTTAATTCTTAACACATTTCTTTTCAGTTTTGAATAGTATTGAGCCAAAACTTACTAATCTTTTTGCCGAAAATTTGTCTACATTTAATTAAAACAATTTTCATCTAACTTTCGGGGGCTTCTCTGCTGTGAAAGTTAAAATTTCTCAAGTTAAAGCAAAGTTTGTTCAAACTTAGAACAAACTAAAACTATTATGAAACCTTGGAACTGTAAATGATAATATTTTTACAGTCAGAGAAAAACTTATGGTTAAGAATAATTTGACTTCTTTACAACTTATTTTAAGTGACACTAATGATTCTACCACTAAGCAGACATCAAAATATTTAGATTTTAATCAGAGAAAAAGAAGTCGACTTTGAAGTGTTGCAACGCTTTTGATTTTATTTCGTACAAACTCACTTATACTATTTTACAGTCCTAGATATTTACACTTTAGAGCTATAAATCACTTAATTTTATGTATAGTTTTTTAAAAAGTAATTGATCACCTTTGGAATGGTTGCCCATGATTTGATTTTTTCAATCCAGTTATACAATTTTGTAGTTTTTCATAAACATTTTTCAAGCATCAACACATAAGTTACTTGTTAAAGGTTAGTCAAGATCCTTTCCAATTCATGCTGATCCGCCCTGTGAAAAATAAATATAGGGATTCAAGTTCTTATTACTATAAAGTTTCACTTTTAACTTTGATTGATTAATTAATTGATTGACTGATTGATTGACAGATATTCTTTAAAGGTCCAAAGTGTGTGCATGGTGGAGAATGTGAAGATGATGTGAACGGATTCTCCTGCTCTTGTCTAGATGGATATTCAGGACAATACTGCCAGTGTATCCAGGTATATAAATAGAACAATACTGCCAGTGTATCCAGGTATATATAGGACAATACTGCCAGTGTATCCAGGTATATATAGGACAATACTGCCAGTGTATCCAGGTATATATAGCACAATACTGCCAGTGTATCCAGGTATATATATAGGACAATACTGCCAGTGTATCCAGGTATATATAGCACAATACTGCCAGTGTATCCAGGTATATATAGGACAATACTGCCAGTGTATCCAGGTATATATAGGACAATACTGCCAGTGTATCCAGGTATATATAGGACAATACTACCAGTGTAACCAGGTATATATATATAGGACAATACTGCCAGTGTATCCAGGTATATATAGGACAATACTGCCAGTGTATCCAGGTATATATAGCACAATACTGCCAGTGTATCCAGGTATATATATATAGGACAATACAGCCAGTGTATCCAGGTATATATTCAGGACTATATTGCCAGTGTATCCAGGTATATATTCAGGACTATATTGCCAGTGTATCCAGATATATATTCAGGACTATACTGCCAGTGTATCCAGGTATATATTCAGGACTATACTGCCAGTTTTAATAAATATAATATAAATTTAGGAATAAGAAAGCAATATAGTGAATAAAGGTCAGAACACTGATTTTCCTAAATAATTTAGGAAGAAGAGAGATGCATTGATCCTAATATTACATTGTCTTGGACTATACCATCCGATTTTACCATGGTAAACATTTTTTAGAAATGATATTTTAATTAATCATTTAACAAGCTATGCCGTTTTAGCTAAAGGCTACAAAAGTTATGCAGAAGGAACTGAACTAACTCTTAATTACTATATTTTTGGAACCTATCCAAGGATCTACAGCATCAGGTTTTAACTGATTAGAAATGTGGCAAGTGTTCAGTTGCTTTTAGATTCTTTTTTTAACTACTAAAAGTCTTTTACAAGATAATCTGGTAATCCATCCAGCCCACTCTCCCCGCTGGAACTTTCATTTTCTCTTCTAAAAATACTTTAGTTTCCATTAAAACCAAAGCACTCTAGCAAGTTCCCCCCTCTTGAGCACTTGGGAGGGGGAGGGGGGGGGTGAATCCCGTAACATGAATCTGTAGATTTAAACGTTTAAAAATCCTTTGATACACGAACCTAGAAACTAAACATTCTGTATGTACATTCGTCGTCGTATATATCAATACAATGAAGACTACTTTCAATCTCAATTTTGATTTCTAACAAGCATCTAAACAGCAACACAATCATGGAAGGCTATCAAATAGCAGCTTCTCTTTGTTTACTTGTAAAACTTGTAATTTAAAAAATACTTGATTTCAAAAGTCAGTTTTATTGTATTAATATAAACGCCGACCATCGTAGGAAACAGAGGATGTTTATTGGACCTCTAAATCTGGACTCAGGGATGAAGCTGATTCTACAACAGGTAATAATTTACCGAAGTTTCTATATAAGTAAATAATTTCACCGTTGCCGCTAGTTTACATATGGATCTCTAGGATTATAAGATTTGAATAGACACATAATATATAAATATTACCATCTTTGAAATTCTATTGGTCCTGAGCTGAAAACTTTAGAATGAGATATCCTTAATCCCAAATACTTAATCTGAGTATCCAATGGAAGACACTTTTGATTTTCTTCTTAAACCGTTCTTTCTTGGATAAAGTAGAGAAAATAAAAAACCGGTTTTTTAAAATTCAGACAGTCCCTCCCTTTTCTGTATATGTATAATCTTAAATGGCGCGCAAAATTTCAAATTTATCGGCTTCATATATGCGACTCTGATTGGTTGAATTTTAAACACTTTTCAGGAAACCACTGTTAATTTGACATTTTTGTTATTTTTTACAGTGTGGTAATAATAATAATAATTTCGGTCAATCCATTAATCTTAGATTTTAGTTATTAGCTGAGTGTAAATGCAGGGGCGGGAGTCAAGTCTATCACGGTCTGTCATGGGCCCTTTTGTACACTCAAAGAATACACTGATATTTCAATTTACATCATGATATATAGGATATGTGATTATTCATATGACAAAAGAATTGAGTTTTCGTCACAATCTTAAATTTTCTAAATATCTACATACTAGTTTGTAGCAAAGTTCATTTATGTGACTTATAATAATGACACAATAAATATTCCACAAAATTCTAAATAAAGTTTGGCTGTTTTGACCCATAACATTGTATAGGGAAATCACTAATTTTATCTCGTGTTTCTATATAAATTTCCATGCATATTTCTAAAAAGCTCAGTCAATATTTTGAGGGGACATTAGTTCCAAAACTAACACTTGGCCCATTTCTAACACTGAATGGGCACAGATTAAAAGACTGGGTTTTTGGGATCCCGGCCCATATCCAGAGTAAAAGTCGATAATAAAAACTATAACCAACATTTTAATTTTTATTAAACATGACGAGGACAACAATTTCCAATTGTAAACTTTTTTTAAAAATAAAAATTATAATACGAATTCTTTTTATTTTAAAGCTCTTGACAGTTTTCAAGGCAATGTTAGGTTTTCCATTTTCGAACATATCCTGAATATGAAACATTGTCGCGTTAAAACCCATTTTCCCGTTTTTGAGTTTTTGAATATAATCCACAATTCAAAACAAAATTAACTTTCATAACATGAATAAATCACTGAAAAAAAAAATTATCTTATGAAGACTAAATTAACTTCTGAATTATTTCTAGAATCTAAGTTTCCACATTTTATCTGTTAAATTAGAGAATATGGATGATTTATTTTCAAACATTATAAACAAACAGTTTCCCGCATTTCTAGTTAAATCTATATTGTAAGAACAAATGATATTAATATTTTGATTTCTAAATGCTGTAATGATTTTTAAATTATAAAAGAACAGTTTGTTTTTATATTCTATTTGTTTATATTTTACCCTTTAAAAAATCTTAAATATATAGTCTTTAAAGATATATACTTTTGAAAAAGATAACTTTGCAGATTTGGCCCATTTCTAACACTCATTGTTAGAAATGGGCCAAGTGTTAGTTTTGGAACTAATATCCCCTGATTTTAAGATACAAAACGACAGTGTGCTTGTGAAAATAAACTAATTATTAAAGATCGGAGCATATTTTTGATGATCTGTTCAATAATGTCCATCTCACAGATTGGTTTTCAAAAATATCTGCAATTATCTTTTGGCAACTTAAGAAACTATTGACGATCAAAGACTATCTCAATGTTGTCCATATTTATAAAATTCCATCTCAAACATCGCTTTGAAATAGAGTCGCAATTATAATATATGCTTTCAGCCTTTGTAAAATTGTATAAAGCCATTCACTGAGATTTAATATATATAAGCTTGAGTATTGAGGTATATTTCAGACTGCAGAGGAATATAATACAATAAAACAACATAAATATAGAAACAAACTACCAATTTATTTCCCCTATACTGTATTTCTCCAATAAAATGGAGGGAGATTTTTTTCAAATTTGAATTCTGCAAATGTGAAAATTGTTATATGAACTTGCAAAAAAATCTTTTCTACCTTTACACCAAGGCTATTCTCACATTTTAGATTTAAGCCATGGAATTGTAAGCAGTGCAAGACGGCTTATGGTAATGGACATAGCGGGGGGGGGGAGGGGGTAATGGGGTTCATAAGTTCATAACTCATACCCCTTTAAAAATAGAAGTAGAACTAGAGAGAGGAGGAGAAAGCTTTTTCAATTTCGTCTGATGCGCCCCTGAACATTCCCTGAACCCTATACCGAAAAATTATAACTCTACCTTTCATGGTTAAAATGTGATGGGGGTTTTAAAAAGATATCAAAAAGAACGCTTGAAAAATGCTCAAAATAATTTTTTAATTAAAAAAAAAGTATTCACATGTGACACGTGTTTCTACCTCCATTTTTCAATGGTTTTTCTAATATGTAAGTTTTACATCTGTAGTCTAAGTAATAAAAAAGTAATTGACTATTTTCAATGTTTTGAAAGACCGTCCTCTACCCCACCCTTTGCAACCAAATTTTTATTTGTTGTTGCAAAATTTGTCCTAAACTATGAAGTTGGAAATGGGAAGAAGTTTGAGCGCTCTAGTGTAAGTGGTATTTGAGTAATTTGGAAAAAACAAGAGGAAGTAGTGGAAAACCCTCGTGATAGGGTTAAGCAATCAATGTGTGTTAACCAAAATATCTTTAAAAATGTTCTGAACATTTCATAAGCATCCTGTTGTGAGGGAGGGGTTGAAGTGCCGTCATGAGCCCACCGAAATGACCTCCAAAGCCTCCTGATACGCAGAAGGCCTCCTGGCCCCGAGAAACCGTCTCCAAGCCTTCGCCTGTCAGTCTCCATGTCCTGACTTTTGGTCTCCAATAGAAAATATTTTGGCTTTAACATCCACCAAAAATCTTTTTTTCAAACAATCTCAATTCTTAACATGATCAATTAGTTTTAAATGATACATAAACAATTTGTAAGGAAAAGTCTATTTTAATTAAGATTAAGGAATTCATGAACAATGAAAAAAACATCCATAGATATTCTGACATTTTGTCATTTTATTTATTCTTTTATTTTCTTGTTTTTATAGAATCTTCAACATCAGACGATACAGAAGACTTCATCAATAAAACTATTGGTAAACATTTCTTTTGAATATTGAACATCAAATTTACACACAGACTTTTTTATTTGAAAAGAAACTGAAAACATCCCTTACATCGGAATCTTTTGATCCCTGTAAAGGAATTTAGTTTTTGCCACAAACATAAGTTTTCTCATCCCTATATTTAATCTTTGAGTTTTCAAAATTTAAATTCTGTTAGATCAACTTATGTATGTTAGAAATATCAAAGGTTTATACCATCAGGTTGCAAAGATATAGGGATTAGAGAATTTAATTTTGTGGCAAAAACTTTGCAACTTCACAAAAGTTTCTTTGCAAACTTGATGGTGTAAACCTTTGATACTTCAATCGTTGACTATTTGATTTAGCAGAATTCGAAGTTTAAATTATCAACAAAGGTCAATTATATCAAGTTGCAAAAATATAAAGATTTGAATATTAAATTCATTTATCTTTTTTCATTTGATAAACAAAATTAGTCCATTAATAGATGATCTAAAACTACACGCATCAAAACAAAATTAAAAATTAACTTTTTTTCTGAAAAAATATCTGTTTACATTTATCTGCATATTCTGAGTATTCCTGAAAAATGTGAGAAACATAAAAAACATCTTTTTTTGTGTTTGGTAGATTTTTACATGACGTAGTCAATAATTTTAGTTGCCCACACTGTAGTTACTGTTGCATACGATGATATGACTGAAATATCTGGTCTAGAAGTTACTCCAACTGAAGAATATGAAATAACCAGCACTTCAACTGTTTCTGCTGCTAATACAAGTGGTATATGCTTTCAACTGAGACATTGAAATATCATTTCTCTCAAATTCAAATACTAACAAGTCCTATAAATGGTGCATCAAAAATCAAATTATGTGAAAAAAGTTTCTTTTATAAAGTTCAATTCAAATATTTAAAAAATGCTGAAATTTTCTAGTTTCTTTATCTTTGCAACCTGATGGTGCAAACCTTTAGTATTTCAAATGCAAATAAATAGGGATTAGAAAGTATGAGTTTGTGGCAAAGACTCAATTCATATGCTGTTTTAAAGTTAATAAAAAAATACAAATATTATAATTTAAAACCATTAAAAAAGATGTTGATGAGTAATTGAGTAATATGAAAAATAAGAATTTAATCGTTTTTTTTTTTATTTTTGTCGACCTTTTCAGATATTCAGAAGTATTTTTCTGACCTCTAAAAAGTAAACAGAAAAAAACGAAAACTGTAACAGATCTTCATTTTATCTTTTTGATAAATAATAATTTTGACAACAAACTTAATTAAAAGTTTAATAATAATTTTCAGTCACAAACTTTTGACAAAAAGCATAAAATTGCAACTCAATAACTAAAATACGTTCATGTCTTTTAAAACGTAATGAACTAGGCTTTTAGACAATTTTAGCTTTAACTATTGTTCTGAAAGTGACCGTTTTTAATCATTTTAAATATTTTTAAGACTTGATTTCTCCATTCTGCTGCATTTTCACAGTATATCAATATCATACTTACAGTTGACTACTGGGAGGAGGAGCTGGGTATAGAAGAACCTGGAGATATGACAACCCTGTATCCTGGAGAACCTGGAGAACCTGGAGATATGACAACCCTATATCCTGGAGAAGGTTCTGACGATCTAGAGAAGATGTACTCCACCCCAGAATTAGAACTGGACAGGTATATTAAAGGGACTGTGAGCGTAATTACAAGTGGTCCTCAATGCAAAGATGACAATACCCGATTTACAACTGCACACTAAAAGCTTTATATGAGCAAGTATGAAGAAGAGATTAATTTTTTTCATCTTGAAAACTGTTATTTTCAACTGTGGTTTCACTAAAGAATTGACTTGCGCATTTCTACTGCAGGAAAACACATAGGAAATCGACTACATCTTTCACATTATTGATTAGATAAGGATTTTAAGGGTATCGACGGTAATCTGGCATTGCCATCTTTGCATGAAGGGTCACTTAAAATTACGCTTACAGTCCCTTTAAAGTGTTAAGTTCTGAAAATTCCTAAATTTTTGTTCTGTAGTAGAAATTCGCAAGTCACCTTTTTCTGAAATCACAATTGAAAGTAATCAGTTTTCAAACTTATAAACATTTATTTCTTGTTTATATTTTAAACTCATATATTTGTTGAATAGGTAGAACAACAACACCGCCATCTTTTTAATAGTAATAATAATAATAATGTATATTTCAAACTAGCAATATATGTACCAATTATGGTCATGGGATAAAAGCATTGATATATTTCATATTTACAATTACATGACACTAGTTAGAGGACTAGAAAGTCTTCAGGTTGTATAAACTAGCGAGAGAATTTGTTCTTATTTTTTTAACTGCACTATTGAGTATTAAAATTAACATTACAAATAAAAGTTTTCTCGAATTTGTTTTACCCAATACCCCGCCCTCTCCCCCCCTTCCCCCTGGAATTTTATTTAAGGTGTTGTGGCCATTTTCATGTCAAAACTCAAACCCCTTTTTTTCTAAAGAAAAATTTAGAAGTTAACTAGATTTTGACGAAAGGAAAAATTTTGAATCGTCTCTGAGTATCTCTATTGTTTTCCCGTTAGCTACTGTTTAATACAGATCTCCCTACCTGCCGGCCATATCAGATATTTTATTGTTGTTACATTATTGAAAACTATTTCCCAATATTATCAGCGTCTTCCCCCTCACTTCCTTCCTTCCTTCCCCTTCCACCCTTCTAATTCATGTCATCCTTCACCCTTACTTCCTTCATTCCTTCCCCTTCCACCCTTCTGGTTCATGTCATCCTTCACCCTTACTTCCTTCATTCCTTCCTTCCCCTTCCACTCTTCTGGTTCATGCCATCCCTCCCACCCTTCTGGTTCATGTCATCCTTCACCCTTCTTTAATATTCCCTCCAGAAGTCCCCCTCCCCTCATATTCCCTCTAGAAGACTTTTACAGTTTATTTACATTCTTCTTTAATTTCCAGCATTAGAATATGTCTGTGGGGAATTCATCGTGTTAAACAATATTCAAGGGATCCATTTTGGACACCTTAACCCTATCAGGGCTGGGGGGGGGGGGTGTTCCCCCCCAGCCCTTCTGTTTTTTTCCAAGTAACTTAAAAAGGGCTTAAAAACAGCCCTTAAATGGGGCTAAGTTTACAATTTTCAATTCTCTCAAATTTTCAATTAAAAAATGTGTTTAATTAATGAATGTTCTATATTGAATCTGAATTTTACAGAACGAAAATCCGTGAAAAATATCTTTGGCAGGATTTAGGTCAATTGATTACGTTTCCATGATATAATGTCTGTATGGCAATCAAAAGAACTAAATGTTACACATAGAACCGTTCTTCTAGAAATTTGAATAATAAACAAAAGTGATCAATAATTATATACACTGTATTTTTTAAATATATTAATGTTATTTTTAGAACTGGCAGTGAGGGGGTTCAGACAAGTTCAGATAATTTTACTGATTCTATGTATGGTGGAACCTCAACAAAAGGATCAACTGATTCTACATTTTCTACAGATCCTACAGATCCTATTGATCTTACAGTTTCAACTGATCCTACAGGTTCTGCTAGTACTACAACCCCTACTGATCCATCAGCTTTTAGTGATCCTACAGCTTCTACTCATTCTACCGGTTTAACAGACTATACTTCCACTCATCTTATGAAATCTACAGATCCTGCATGGTCTTCAGATCCTACAAATTCTACTTATGATGCCTTGGCTACAGATGATCCTACAGCTTCTACTGATCCTACTGGTACAACTGGTCATACCGCTGTGACTGATCCAAGGGCTATAACTGATCCTACGACTTCCACTGATAATATGGCTTCTACTAATCCTACGACTTCTACTGATCCTACCACTGAGACTGATTCTACGGCTTCTTCTGATCCTACAGCTACAACTGATCCTACCTCTCCAACCAATCCTACAGCTTCAACTGATCTTACAGCTGCAACTGATGCGACGGCTTATACTGATCCTACGCCATCTACGGGCTCCACAACTTTAGGTGATATGAATCGAACAATAGATCCATCTGAAAGCATTGATACTACTGATGTAACTCAGGATGTTACTGAGCTCATGGATTCAACAACAGATATTACTAAAAATGTTACAGAGCTATTAAATTTACCTGAAGGTATGATAAGACTAAAATTATAATTTCTTGACTCCTGTTAATTTTATTGAATCGTTTAATTTTGATAAATTAATAAAATTTAGACAACCTTGAAACTGCTACCAGAGAATCTATCCATCATGAACCTGGAGATCAACATGAAACTGTACCAGCAACAGAACATAGAGCAGAACATGAAGATGATCTTGCTCCTAAGGTTAATGTAGAAATTATAAAAATGATCTTGAATTTTCTAACATCATTCATCATTTGCATTTATTTTACTCCTTGCTTTCCGTTAAACCTCTTCTTAACTTTTCACAAGACACAAACCCATCTCTGAATCATGCTTTTATATTGTAGATGCATCTGACCACCCTAGCTCCTAAAGAACCTGGAGCAACAGCAATATATCCGTCCCAACATACATCTTGTACACAAAACATTTGCAGGTGGAGTAGTAGAATTAGGATAGGAACAGGATAGGATTAGGATAGGATTAGGATTGGATTAGGATAGGAACAGGATAGGATTAGGATAGGATTAGGATTGGATTAGGATAGGATTAGGATAGGATTAGGATAGGATTAGGATAGGATTAGGATAGGATTAGGATAGGATTAGGATAGGATTAGGATAGGATTAGGATAGGATTAGGATAGGATTAGGATAGGATTAGGATAGGATTAGGATAGGATTAGGATAGGATTAGGATAGGATTAGGATAGGATTAGGATAGGATTAGGATAGGATTAGGATAGGATTAGGATAGGATTAGGATAGGATTAGGATAGGATTAGGATAGGATTAGGATAGGATTAGGATAGGATTAGGATAGGATTAGGATAGGATTAGGATAGGATTAGGATAGGATTAGGATAGGATTAGGATAGGATTAGGATAGGATTAGGATAGGATTAGGATAGGATTAGGATAGGATTAGGATAGGATTAGGATAGGATTAGGATAGGATTAGGATAGGATTAGGATAGGATTAGGATAGGATTAGGATAGGATTAGGATAGGATTAGGATAGGATTAGGATAGGATTAGGATAGGATTAGGATAGGATTAGGATAGGATTAGGATAGGATTANAGCAGTTCTGTTCCCATCCAATATATTATTATCTGGCCTTCCAGCAGTTCTGTTCCCATTCAATATATTATTATCTGGCTCCCAGCAGTTCTGTTCCCATCCAATATATTATTATCTGGCCTCCTAGCAGCTCCGCTCCCATCCAATGTATTTTTGAACACGTCAGTTTTCGCTGAAAAACAAGCATCATGAAAGGATCCCAATGTTGTGTATATTCAACAAAATTTTTCGATTCATAAATTCTTTTATTTTTCTTGAACTTAAAGTTAATTACCTTATGTTTAATTTTCTTGAACTTAAAGTTAATTACCTAATGTTTAATTTTCTTAAACTTAAAGTTAATTACCTTATGTTTAATTTTCTTGAACTTAAAGTTAATTACCTTATGTTTAATTTTCTTGAACCTAAAGTAAATTACCATATGTTTAATTTTCTTGAACCTAAAGTAAATTACCCTATGTTTAATTTTCTTGAACCAAAGTAAATTACCTTATGTTTAATTTTCTTGAACCTAAAGTAAATTACCTTATGTTTAATTTTCTTGAACCTAAAGTAAATTACCTTATGTTTGATTTTCTTGAACTTACAGTAAATTACCATATGTTTAATTTTCTTGAACTTAAAGTAAATTACCTTATGTTTAATTTTCTTGAACTTAAAGTAAGTTACCTTATGTTTGATTTTCTTGAACCTAAAGTAAATTACCTTATGTTTAATTTTCTTGATTATTTTAGAAATGGAGGAACTTGTTTATGGAGTATAGATGGATTCCAGTGCCATTGTAAACTACAGTTCTCAGGAAGATATTGTCAATCTAGGATTCAAGTCAGTACTCCAGGTATATATTAGGACTCAAGAGTCAATAATCCAGATATATATAAGACTCAAGAGTAAATACTCCAGGTATATATTAGGTATATATTAGGATTTTGAAGTCAGTACTCCAGGGTTAGTTACACGAGTCCCTTTGTGTAAGTTAAGTCGAGTCAAGGATGTAATTCAAGGAAAGTTAATTGCGGTCGTGTATACTCTGCGGACATATTGAAACCAGTTCTCTCTGGGCGGAATTTGTAAACAAGAATAGATGCATCAGTGTTCGTTTAGTATCTGAGGAGGTTAAATGCATTAAATTTTGATAACTTTGATAATTCACATAATAGTTTCCTATGACCAGAATATTTCATTGATTTTTTTTATGTGAAAGATGGATCCCATGTCAGGCTGTAACATCCGTCTTGTGTTTACATTACCGCCCAGAGACAGTACACTGCAATACAAAAGATGCGTACACTTCTGAAATAACTTTCCTTGCATTACATCATTCAGTCGACTCACTACTTCAATTAGAAACTAAATAATCCTTTTCTTTGTATTTTTCTTTACTTTTTATTTCTTTCCATAAAATTGTAATCCTGAGTGTATGTAAGTGTATTAAGCTGTCCACTCCTGAGTGTATGTTACTGTATTAAGTTGTCCACTACTAGTGTATGTAACTGTATTAAGATGTCCACTCCTGAGTGTATGTAACTGTGTTAAGTTGTCCACTCCTAGTGTATGTAACTGTATTAGTTGTCCACTCTTGAGTGTATGTAACTGTATTAAGTTGTCCACTCCTAGTGTTTGTAACTGTATTAAGTTGTCCACTCCTAGTGTATGTAACTGTATTAAGTTGTCCACTCCTGAGTGTATGTAACTGTATTAAGTTGTCCACTCCTAGTGTATGTAACTGTATTAAGTTATCCACTCCTAGTGTATGTAACTGTATTAAGTTGTCCACTCCTGAGTGTATGTAACTGTATTAAGATGTCCACTCCTGAGTGTATGTAACTGTGTTAAGTTGTCCACTCCTAGTGTATGTAACTGATTAAGTTGTCCACTCTTGAGTGTATGTAACTGTATTAAGTTGTCCACTCCTAGTGTGTATGTAAGTGTATTAAGTTGTCCACTCCTAGTGTATGTTACTGTATTAAGTTGTCCACTCCTGAGTGTATGTAACTGTATTAAGTTGTCCACTCCTGAGTGTATGTAACTGTATTAAGTTGTCCACTCCTAGTGTATGTTACTGTATTAAGTTGTCCACTCCTAGTGTATGTAACTGTATTAAGTTGTCCACTCCTAGTGTATGTAACTGTATTAAGTTGTCCACTCCTAGTGTATGTAACTGTGTTAAGTTGTCCACTCCTAGTGTGTGTAAGTGTATTAAGTTGTCCAGTGTTAGTTGTATATCCAATACATAATATTCTACCAATATTCATAGCTTACTCCAATACTCCTCATTAAAGGTTTACTCAACACAAAAGTGCATTACACACGAATAATACATAGTTTAGGTAGCATTTACCTAAACTTAAAGGGAATGTAAGCAGATTTTAAGGGGCCCTCTATGCATGGATAGTAATGCCTGATTCACAACGGTACTCTTAATTTCTTTATCTGATCATTAATGTGGAATTCATTGTCTTTTTTTCGGTCTAAAAGTATTTAATTCAGATAATCCCTACAACTCTTCTCACAATAGAAATGTGAAAGTAATTTTTGTAGAGGACCTGCAATGAAAGATAATTAGTTTTCAAAATTATAAATATGGATTTCTCATTAATGCTTGATCGGATAAAGGTTTCAAGAGTACCTTTGTAAATCGGGCATTGCCAACTTTGCCTGGAGGGTCACTTGAAATTACGCTTTATAGTCACTTTAACTAACTTTTTGATTAGTGTACTTAGTTGATTGAGTATTGATTGATTGATTGATTTATTGATTGATTGATTGATTTCTCAGGATTTTTGGGACACTCCTACCTGGTTCACGAGACAGGACTGGAAGACAACTCTACTCTTGAACTGGGGTTTAGGACTCAAATTGGTAACATGAAAATAAATATAAACATAAAAATGAATAATAGCATGAAAATGAGTGATAACATGAAAATGAGTATAAACATAAAAATGAATAATAACATGAAAATGAGTTTTAACATGAAAATGAATAATAGCATGAAAATGAGTATAAACATGAAAATGAATAATAACATGAAAATGAATAATAACATGAAAATGAATAATAGCATGAAAATGAGTATAAACATAAAAATGAATAATAGCATGAAAATGAATATAAACATAAAAACGAAAAATAACATGAAAATGAATAATAACATGAAAATGAATAATAACATGAAAATGAGTAATAACATAAAAATGAGTATAAACATAAAAATGAATAATAACATGAAAATGAGTATAAACATAAAAATGAACAATAGCATGAAAATGAGCATAAACATAAAAATGAACAATAGCATGAAAATGAACATAAACATGAGAATGAATAATAACATGAAAATGAGTATAAACATAAAGATGAATAATAACATGAAAATGAGTATAAACATAAAAATGAATAATAACATGAAATGATTTTAAACATAAAAATGAATAATAACATGAAAATGAATAAAAACATGAAAATGAATAGTAACATGAAAATGAGTATAAACTTAAAAATGAATAATAACATGAAAATGATTATAAACATGAAAATGAATAGTAACATGAAAATGAGTATAAACTTAAAAATGAATAATAACATGAAAATGATTATAAACATGAAAATGAAAAATAACATGAAAATGAGTATAAACATAAAAATGAATAGTAACATGAAAATGAATATAAACATGAAAATGAATAATAACACGAAAATGAATATAAACATAAAAATGAATAATAACATGAAAATGAATATAAACATGAAAATGAATAATAACATGAAAATGAATATAAACATGAAAATAAATATAAATATGAAAATGATTATAAACATAAATAATTGTAAACACAAAACAAAACATACAAAAGAAATATGAACATAAAGATAACAAGGAAATAAAATAAACTTGAATATAAGCAGGAATAAAAATATGAACATAAAAATAAACATCCATTAACAAACACTTCAGAACTACATAATGATTATACAAATATTAACATAATAATAATGCATTGACATTATTAACTTGAGTTGCGCACAACATAAATATGAAAATATGAATATGAACAAAACATACACATAAAAAATAATATGAAATTTTATAAAATTAATGATTTTTTTTTGCCAGGATTCCGAACTACCTATTCAACAGGGGTTCTCTTCTACACAGGTCAAATATTCATTAGATTTATTCATTATTTTCATCAATTTCTTATTTCATCATTTATATCATTCATCCTTTTATTATATTCATTCATTCATCACATTCATTTATTCTATACAGTTCAAATATATCTGTATTCATTAGATTCATTCAATAGATTTATTTATTTCTTATTTCATACTTTATATCATTAATCTTTTTATTATATTCATCCATTTATTCATCCCATTCATTTGTACTACACAGGTCAAATATATCTGTTTTGATTAGATTCATTCAATAGATTTATTTATTTCTTATTTTATTCTTTATATCATTCATCCTGTTATTATATTCATTCATTTATTCATCCTATTCATTTGTTCTACACAGGTCAAACATATCTGCGTTCATCCGTTAAACTTCTCATTCATTCCTCATCTCATACATTTTAGTTATTCATTCTTCATTTCATCCATCCTTTTCATTCATCCTTACTTATTCTTCATTTCATTCACTCTATTCATTCAAGTATTGATCCTGTACGGTTCGTAAATATTTGATTTCATCAATGCTATTAATTCATTTATTCATCATACAGCTCCAGCATTCATTCTACATTTCATCCCTCCTTTTCATTAGTCTTTTTCAGTCCTTATAAGTTCTACATTTCATTTATGCTATTCATTCATCCTTTTCAGTCCCTATTCATTCAACATTTCATCCATGCTATTCCTACATCCTTTTCAGTCCTTATTCATTCTACATTTTATTCATGCTATTCATTCATCCTTTTCAGTCCTTATTCATGTTATATTTTATTCATGCTATTCATTCATCCTTTTCAGTCCTTATTCATTCAACATTTCATCCACACTATTTATTCATCCTTTTCAGTCCCCATTCATTCTCCAATACATTTCTTATTCATTCTACATTTTATTTATGCTATTCATTCATCTTTTTCAGTCCTTATTTATTCATCCTTTCATGTCACTAGGTTCACAACTTCAGAAGCATCAGGTTGCAAAGATAAAAAGAATTATAAAGTTATAATTGAGACAAGAAACCAGGTCCTTAAGACTCCAAAACTTCGTAAATAATATTTGTTTTCCAGGGGAGCAAGGAGGTCTCTTGATAACCTCGTTTTTAGAGGATGGTATTCTTAACTTTCAGGAAACCAGACATTTTCAATAATCATTAATTAACAATAATAATAATCATAATATTACAAATGAAAAAAATATTGATGTTGGTGATGATGCTGATGGATAATAATGATGAAGATGATGTTGATGATAATGATGATTCTGATGTTGATAATGATAATGTTGTTGAACAACAACAAGAATAATAATAATAATAATGTCTGAGAATTCTAGGTGAGCTGTGGACACCAGCTGATTACATTCTCGGATCCTAAACATAGAGTCAACACAGGAATAATTTATTTTAAAAAAAAGTAGAAAGTTGATTTTGAGTTTGCGGAGGGATAAAAGTCTTGATATTATTAGAATTCAATCAAACCAAGAATTCCCCCACTAAAATTTTTTCAAAATGGTTTTATTGGTTTTATTGGGTTCAAATTAATATTTAATCATCTGAGAAACTGTAGCAGCCAATCAGAGAAAAGGGGGCAACCAATGAGAGAACAGAAATATTCTCATTGGAGAAAACAATTAACGGATATCCAAGGAGAGAGAAAAAGAGTGGATTAAGGATTAAAATGAAAAGTTTCCACAGTGGATATTCGGATTAAGAAGTCAGGATTAAAGTTTATCCATTCTAAAGTTCCCTGCTCAGGTCAAAGAAAACTCTGGTCTTTGTCCTTTCTATGAAATGTCTTTACTATGAAATGTCACATCTATAAAATGCACTTTCTATTGTCTTTGGAATGCTTGAGTCTGTAAATTCTTAAAATAAATCATTTTTTTAAGGATATGAGCAGACCTTGGAAGTAGTTGTTACTTTTCAGGTTATTTACAATTTTATCTTTGGATCTTGTGTTGGGGTTGATTCCTAACCTTATAGTTTTTTCACTTTTAGGGTGATTATTAGACTTACCAATAGATGATACTTATCTACTTTTGGTATGCATGAAATGTTATGTGACCTACTTTTGATAATTTGAATAAATGTATGACTGAGTATAATATTATTGTATCTGTTTTATGGTTTGGGCTGGATTGGCTGATGTTAAATAAATTATATTAAATACAGTGGTCAGCATTTATATCAATACAATGAAGACGACTTTTTATTGGTGATTCAATTTCTAACAAGCTTTTATTCACCGCTCATTAGAGACAAATAAAAATGTAAACAACGAGAAGCTGTTAATGAAATAATGTTTAGAAAGATCAATACTGAAAAAGAAAGTCGTTTTTATTGTATTGATATAAACGACGACCACCGTATCTTATTAAATGATTGATTGTTTGATTATTTGAAAGATTGATGTATTGATTTATTAAATGAATGATTGATTGATTTATTGAAGAATTGATTGAAGAAATTATTGATCGTTATTTTCAGGGAGAGAAGGGTCTGGATAGAACCTGTATAACTGAAATCCATCTGAATGGAACCCACGCCATGAAAGGGGAGCAGGAGGTCCTGCATCCGCCTCATCTGCCCCAGTACATATATATCGGCGGAGCTCCGGCGGATATCCTGCAGGACCCGGGGGCGGATATTCTGATTCCGAAGGTTGGTCTGCAGGGCTGTGTCAAGCATTTTCTACTTCAGGAGAGAGAAGTTGAACTCTTCTCAGGAGCTGTTAGCGGACAGGTACAAAACATGCTCAATCAATCAACTTGAATAAAAGGCAAAAACTAAAACGAAAACGGAAGTTTTAATCAGTATAAAGAAAAGTTTTAGAACAATTTTGTAGAAAATTGAAATTGAAGATTTCTGTGTGTGCTGAAAAATTGATAGTTTGACTTTGCATTGGTTTGAGTAGGATATTGTTGAATGTGAGAGTGCTGCATGTTCCAGCAAACCTTGTCAGAACAATGGGATTTGTAACCAACATCCTTCAGGGGCATCATGGTAAGTCAGAAACTAACGGAGCTGGGAACTTTTGAAACGACGGAATGAGTTAAAATATTTTCCAAGAAGATAAAGAAAACACCTGGCAATTTTTAGTGCAAACCTATCTTTTACGCTGTTACTCATTGGTCAAAGTTATAATTGTGAACCAATAGGAAGTCGAGAAATCTTTACTTTTAATTTTATTAGTTTCCAGCTTTCACCTTCTAATCATTAAAAGCCATACTTTACAACATCTACTTAAAGGGACTGTCAGCATAATTTCAAGTGACCTCTATTCACAAAGATACTCTTGAAACCTTTATTTGATCAATAATTTGAAATGTATTGTCGTCATTGTAGGATTGAAAATATAAATTGTTGATAATTCCTAATTCCTGTAGTAGAAATGCGTCACTTTAATTAAAATTAATTAGTTTTGAAAATTATCAACATTGATATCTAATTCATATTTAATCACAAAAACCTTTTAAAGGTACTATATTGTCATCTTTGCATGGAATTGAGGGTCACGTGAAATTACGCTTACAGTCCCTTTAATGGTCCATTTACGTTTAATAGATTAGAAAATTGCATTTCCTCAATTTCCTAAAACTGTCTTTTGTACTGTTTAACTGTTTATGTCAGGTTCTGTGAATGTACTGCAGGATTTACTGGTCAGCTGTGTGAAAGAACAATCTGTAATGCCAACCCATGTCTTCATGGTGGAACTTGTCTGGGAAAACCAAAGGAACAGCGGTCATTTTGAATATTTCGGAAGTCATTTTATAATTTTGAATAATTGTGCGACTATTTTGAAAAAATTGGCGGCCATTTTGAATAATTTAGTGGCCATTTTGAATAATATTGTAGGCATTTATAATATCAAAGTTTATATCTAAAATTTAGTTTATTGTTTTTTTTCTGTTAATTTTATAATTTAAAATTCTAAGTACATGGTCTCTGTTGATTTAGGGAGAAGGTTTTGTCTGTCTCTGCCCTTTTGGAAGGAATGTATTTGTTCTAAAATATTTTATTCATTGAATCAACTTCATAGTAAATAAAAACCATGACTTTTTTGTTATGTTCGAACAATATTTATTATACAGGCGGGGAGGTATATGTGAGGAGGAGGTGGAGGTAAGTTGATGAATAATGAATGAGGCTTTAATGACGACCTTTCTCTTTAGATATCACGATAATCCGGTCTTCTGTATACATTGAAAACATCTTGTTTTTAATTCATAATAAATTAAATCAGCGTACACTGTACATTTTTTTTTCAAATTGGGGGCAAATGGGGGCAAATGGGGGCAAATGTGTTAGTGGAATTTGAAAAAAAAAATTTTAATTGAGGGCATTTATTTTTTAAATTGGGGGCATTTTTTTTAATTGGGGGCAATGGGGGCAAATGTTTTAGTGGAATTTTAAAATGTTTTTTTAATTGGGGGCATTTTTTCAAATTGAGGGCAATGGGGGCAAATGTTTTAGTGGAATTTAAAAATGTTTTTTTTTAATTGGGGGCATTTTTTTTTAATTGGGGGCTTTTTTTCAAATTGGGGGCAATGGGGGCAAATGTGTTAGTGGAATTTGAAAATGTTTTTTTAATTAGGGGCATTATTTTTACAAATTGGACTAAATAATTGCTGTACAGTAGTCTCAATCTTTGTGGGTCCCTGCACTTTACAGGATTTACACTTTCCAATTGTGCTTCCCTAAACACATTATAGTCTCAAAAGAATTGGTTGAATTTGATGAACTGTCCCGCTTTTCACTCTATAATCTGCGTATATTGTGAGCCGTAGAAATTTCTTTAGTTGCGCAAAGGTTGACCTGGTATCTTAAATAAACCAAAGTTTTCAGTGAAAAGAAAATATCTACTGAAATTTCAAAAAGTATTTTGATTGTTTAGGTAAATCAACCTTCCTTTACTAGCTGGGTTCTGGGTCATTCATCCTTCCTAACTTATCAGGTGATTTCAACGCTAGCTAACTTAGCTGGATTAGACTTTAACCCTAGATCTAACTTTGCTGAATTAGACTTTAACGCTAGATCTAACTTAGCAAGATTACACTTCAACGCTAGATCGCTAGATTAGACTTCAACGCTAGTTCGCTGGATTACACTTCAACGCTAGATCGCTGAGTTAGACTTCAACGCTAGATCTTAGAGCTCTTTATCATAAAAGAATGACATTTTAAATTTTTTATTACTTTTTTTCGCATAGGTTTTTTATTTAAAGGGTTCGAAACTGAAGGTTCTCTTATTACCCAGTTAAAACATCTGAATGACTCGTTGATTCAAAAACCTAATTATTGATCAGGCTCCTACTGGAGTAGAACCTGGTGTAGAGTTCAAGTTCCATTTTACCAGCGGGCTGGTCAACCAGGTTGCTCTTCTCCTCTTCATGGGTCAGCTTGGGACACGCAGGCAGGGGTCAGACTACCTAGCTGTCAGCTTTATCAAGGTAAATATACATTTAAGAAACTTATCTGATTACTTCGTAAGACAAAAGAATATCAAATACACCAAAAAATTTCCTTAAATACATGTTTACCTACAAAGGATGAGACTTCAGTGACACTATGTGGAATTTATAAATTCTAGGTATTTGCATTTCTGGTTCTTAATAAGCTTATTACTTCCTGTGTCAAATCATCTAATATACCATTAAATAAATTAAAAATACCATTATGTAAACTAAAAGTACCATCATTTATACTAAAACGAAGGCAGAGAGCCTTGTTAAAGACCTTCAAATCATTATATTTAAAGAGTAGTAGGCGGTCATTAAAGTGTCAGATTAAATAATCAATTATTCTTGAATAAATTATTAAATATTTCAGGGGCATGTGTTATTAACCTGGGATTTAGGAGCTGGACCTAGAAGAATATTTACCAAGGAGCCCGTAGATCCAAGGTTTATTGTCTAGTTTGGTACAAAGTTATGTTATCAAAAAGATCCAAGGTTTATTGTCTAGTTTGGTACAAATTTATGTTATCAAGTAGATCCAAGGTTTATTGTCCAGTTTGTTACAAATTTATATTATCAAGTAGATCCAAGGTGTATTGTCTATTTTGTTACAAATTTATGTTATCAAGAAGATCCAAGGTTTATTGTCTAGTTTGGTACAAATTTATGTTATCAAGTAGATCCAAGGTTTATTGTCTATTTTGTTACAAATTTGTATTATCAAGTAGATCCAAGGTTTATTGTCTAGTTTGGTACAAATTTATGTTATCAAGTGGATCCAAGCTGGCTAATACATATTTAAAACACTTACATGTATTTTTCTCTTTAGGATTCATGTACACACTGTACATGCAGGCAGATGGGGCAGGCTCGGCTGGCTTAAGGAACATTCCTACATCGAAATGTACATTTGTATGTACAGTACATAAAAACAAGACATTATTGGATAATTCCCATTCTCACTTTTATTTTTTTAAAGCAGGGAATCAATTTAATCTCAAGATTTTCAATTTTGTAAATAATATCTCATTTCGAATAGTTACTTCATGACATGAAAATTATCAATTAATGAGATATTATTTAATTTTGATTTGACATCACAGATCAGATTTAATTTAAAACTATAAAATCTCAAAATCAATATTTTCTTGTCCAGGACTTTCATTTTCCCAACAATTGATTCAGGATTATATTATGCAATAATAATTGTTTTTTTTTTTGATTATCCTCCATTGTTTTTATTTCCTTTGACAAGAATTGGATATTGATAAACGTTTTTTCTCCTCTTTACTAAATAAATATTTATAATTATCTTTTATTTCTGGTAAACATAATTATGTTCTTAAGTGAAACTTTTCGTTGATTTTTTCTCAAATTGAATGTCAACTTATTTCAGATGAACCTCTTCTTAAACCATTTCCAATTCACAACGGTACCCTTTCCTTCCCAACCTTTAAACCATAGCTTATTATTAATGTGGAATATATCGTTGTCTAGCTTTACCTGTCGTTAAATCGTGCAATTTCCTCAATGGTTTCTATAGCAAGGTATTCCGCAAGTAACTACAGAAATACTATGAACACAATTAAAAAAACCAATGTTCAAAGAAAAATCATGGATATCTCGATGCTTTTACAGATATCAATGTGAATCGAACATTTAGCTCTGTAAATTGAGGGTCACTTGAAATCATGGTTGTATAGTCGCAATTGAAACTTTCATGCTTTGTAAATTGTTAACCCCTATTCGGTTTAAGGGGTAGACAATTTTTACTTTTCTTTTTGCCGCAAACTTTTTTAATCCTTATATCTTTTTTGCAGAAGTTTGATATTCCAAACTATAAATTATGTTAGATCAAATATTGAAAAATCAAAGGTTTTCACCATTAGGTTGCAAATATATAAGGATTAGAAAATGTGTGACATAAAACTCAGTTCCTTTCCTGAATATTTAAATTCTCTACAAATCCATCATGTTGTTTGAGCTGAATATCGAATGTATGCATGTGATTAGGTTGATCACTACAGGAATCTGACCGGCCTAGCTCCAGGAAAACTCTCTACCTTGAACGTGAACGGAGAGTTCTATATTGGAGGTCATGAGAGTTTTAACTTTACAGGTTTACCTCATGATTTCCCTGTACACACTGGCTTTACAGGATGCATATTCGATCTAGGCAGGAGCAAACAAACAAAACTAATATTAATCAAACTTTCTATTTTTTAGATTATTCCAGTTTCAATCTTGGTTCATGTAAGCTAAAAAAGTTAAGTACTGTTTTAATCTCTTTATCTTTGCTACCCAATGTCGTAGACCTTTGATATTTCAATTTGAGTTTGTGACAAAAACTCAGTTCCTTTGTCTAGATTCTACAAATAAACATCGATTGTTTAAATGTTTAAATTAAGCTATAGGTTTGTAATGCTGATGTATAGTTGTACGGAACGACGAGGATGATTTAATAGTTCCTGTTCCTGTCCGAGGAAGGAACGTGCAGCAGTGTCAGGTATAAAATATGTAAATTATGGAATATACTGCTGAAAGTTCCAACATTTAACAGGGTTTACATTTCTAGGAACGGATCTGTGACAGACGACCATGTTCCAATGGATTTTGCTTGGATTATGGAGCCTCATACTCGTGCCAATGTCCAGATGGAACAACAGGTATAAAAGGCAACTTACAAAGAGCTTCTATAAGATCTGTTTTTACATATTTAGTGATTTACAGCTAAAGGTGATAAAAAAAATCGGAGATGTTCTGAACATTTCAGATTTAATCAATCGTTTTTAAAATCATATAACCTTGAATGTGTTTAAAACGGACCTAAACATGATGATCATCAGTACTAAGGACTAAGGGGGGGGGGGAAATCACTTAGATTTATTGCTAATTACTAACTTTAAAGTTGTCATTAATTAAACCAATTTATTCATGTTGAATTACCAACCAGACTATATAGGTTTATTATGTACGCAAACGTTCGAGTACCAATGACACAAATTAAAACATCTCTAATCCTATCTGTCAAATCTGTAACATTATGTTCAGGACCTTCTTGTGATCATAACCATAACATCTGCAGTGGTCAGAGACATCAATGCCAGGAGGGGTCAACCTGTACACCAGTACATTCAGGTAGGAGGGGTCAACCTGTACACCAGTGCACACAAGTAGGAGGGGTCAACCTGTACACCAGTACACAAAGGTAGGAGGGGTCAACCTGTGCACCAGTACACACAGGTAGGAGGGGTCAACCTCTACACCAGTACACACAGGTAGGAGGGCTTAACCTGTACACCAGTACACACAGGTTGGAGGGGTCAACCTGTACACCAGTACACACAGGTAGGTGGGGTCAATCTTTAATATTACAAATGTCACAACTTTTGTTCAGAGAAAGGTTAAAATGGTATATACCGTTGTAAATCGAGCCTGTAAAGCTTAAAATGAACTATATAGGAGCTGGTTACCAATGTGTCTGCCCCCTGGGAAGAACAGGAGAACACTGTGAGGAGAATATTGAGATCTCAGATGCAAAGTTTACAGGTTGTATAAACAAAAAATATATAGAACCAAGACGAGAGAAGGATAGAATTTAACAATAAACTGTGACGTATAAGCCTTAAAACTAATTTCATTGTAAACAATCAAACAAGTCGCCTAAGCTTCTCAGGAATACTGAGCTAATTGCTTTAAATATTTGGTAGATTTTACAATAACAAAAATAGTTCATCAGCTTTTTTAATATATTTAAAAGCACAATAAAATGTAAACAACCCTTATTTCCATGTTCCTAGTTATAATTGTATTTTATAAACAAACCAAATATCTAAATACCCCCCCCCCTCCTCCCCGCATAGGCTTTTAACAAACTAGGCTTTTAGCGCCCATCTTCTATTTAAATTGTGAACATGTTCTTTTTGTTTACATTTTAAAACAAAGAAGAAAAATTTTTTGCAGATAATTAAAAAAAGATTGGCGGATTTTCAAGGAATTTAAATTTTTTTACAAAATTAAAAACCTTTAAAACACATTTTAATTTTTATCATTCATAAACCTTCCCTGTGGTCACGTGATATCCCACAAAAAATTTGGACCCGATCAATTCAGCCGTTTTGACGTTTATTGGATACAAACAAACAAACAGACACCCAAACACCCAAACAGACAGACAAGCCAAATTTATATATAGATAACTTACAGTGAAAACCAGAAAACAGAGTCTCAAACCATGAATTTGAATAGTCCAACGAACATAAGACAACGCAATTTTGCGATGTACTCAGATAAAAAAAATTTAAATTAAGTTAATTTTATTTTTTAATCTAATAATAAAATTGTATGCTTTATAGCAACATCATATTTGTAGATTGCGTTAATGTCGTCTTCCTATGCCAGAGTTCTCTGGTTATCACTGTAAAGTTACATCTCAACTTTTTAATTGTCATTTAATACTATTTTTAGGATCAAGCTCATACATGGCACTAAACCTACTCACCAGTGTAAGGTTAGAAATAAATACTTTTTTTCAAGTTTAACACTTCTTGTTTTGACATTGCAGATGTGTCAGAAAATTCATAGATATTGAGATTGTTTCTATACACAGTATGACCATGTGATATATGGTAGAATTTAAAGCTTGAAGAAGTTTTCTAGATGATTTAAAACTTATTATATATATGCTTTGCCAAGTTATCTGTGTCAGAAAAAAACATTTAACAAAAAATTATTTTGCTTTTGATAAGGTAAGAAAGGAAAGGAATTGAATCTTTGCCACAAACTCAAATTTTTTAATCCGCATATCTTTGCAACCTAATGCTGTAAACCTTTGATATTCTAAGCTTAGACTATTTAATCTAACAGAATTCATATTTTGAAATATCTCAGGTCTACGACATTGGGTTGCAAAGATATAGGGATGAGAAAATCAGAGTTTGTTGCAAAGACTTCATTCCTTTGAGAAGCAAGAAATAAATCCTTTAATATTTTTTAACAAATGATTCGATATCAAATGTTTCGTTATGGAAATTTTTATAAAGGTGAAAAACTATATTTAGAACTTAAAGTTTCAGTGTTGGGGGAAGTCTGAAGGCAGGGTTATTTTGCAAGAGAAAAATTTTTCTTAACTTTAATAATTTATCTGAATTAAGTTTTACAATATTTTTAAATTTCAATATGATATCAGATGGAAACATCTTAAAAAGTCTTTTTTTCTTGTTTTTCATTCTTTCTCCTTGATCGTCCATTCCTCGTCCATCCTTCTGCAAGAGAAAATATACTTTTAGAGATACTACCCTTTTCCCCTATTTGTGCTTATCAATGATTCTATTTGATGTAAAGTCAATTAAACAAATCATACAAGTTAGATTCATATTTCAAATTGAATATTAAACTTACAGCGGGAACCAGATAACTGTGGTAAAGAAAAGATAACATTAAAGCAATATCTGGTATAATTAAAGTTGTTACAAATTACAATGCTGTGTCTCGTATTCAATATGTTATTAAGAATCATAAATTTGGGCTAAAAGTCCTCTTTCTTTACCAAAGTTTTCTGGTTCTCATTGTAAAATCTGTTTGATATCTTTTTTATTTATGCTTATTTTTGTTACGGTGATAAACAAAAAACTTTATAAAAGGAAGACGACTTTTAGAATCAAGTTATAACTTTAAAAAGTCCAATGAGCATGAGAAACAGCAGTTATTTCACTAAATTAGTGATTAAATAGGTGTCTAGTAAAACTATTTGCTTAGTAACAACATTAAATACACTTAAAATTGGTATAATGTCGTCTTTCTATTCCATTGTTTTCTGGTTATCACTGTATGTAGGTTCCGAACTGAACTGAGGTTTGAGCTGAAGGTTGACCGGGCTGATGGGTTGCTGGTATACCTGGGTCAATCCTCAAACCAGTTTGGAGATTTCCTCTCAGTTCTTCTGATAAACCAAACCCTAGTATTCAGCTTTAGCTTAGGGGCAGAGGATAAGGTTAACTTTTAAAAAATTGTTTTTCATTTTTGACAATTTTTAAAGGAATTGAGTCTTTGCCACAAACATAAGTTTTCGTATCCCTAGATCCTTTAAACCAGATAATGTAGACCTTTGATATTTCAAACTTTGAACATTTAATCTAACAGGGTTTATAGTTTGAAATATCTAATGTCTACGACATTGGGTTGCAGAGATATAGGGATTTGAAAATCAGAGTTTGTGACAAAGACTCAATTCCTTTGTCTGTTACCGTTTTCTTTTTCCATGCAAATGTTACGAGCTACGACTCTATTTCCCTTTTTTTTAAAAATCTAGATATTTCTATTGTATATTTGTTCATGGCTTTTAACCCTGAAAAAGACTGACGACTTGATTAAAGTGTATTCCAGTAATAGAATGGATTGTCCGAATCACAACGGTACCCTTTGATTGAAAAAGATTGAAAAAACGACAATATCTTCCTCATTGTTACTCAGATTATGTATAATAGTATTGGGTACCTTTGTGAAGCTGACATGCCAGTCTTCAATTAGAGCTAAGTTTACTTAAAATTACGTCTACAGTCCCTTTAAGCGTTTTTATCTCTAACAATTTTTGTAAGAATTCCTTAATTAATTGGTTTCCTTATTGTTCAAAGTAATTTGGAAAATGCTTTTCTTATTTTTTATTTCTAAATTAGAAATATGTTCCTTGAATCCTTCTACATTTCATTTTTACTTTCTATAAATCTGGAGTGAAGGAAAATCTTTTTTACTTCAATTCTTAACCTCTATATTTGAACATATTTGTCGTTGTAATTTATTTATTTATTTTATTTCGTTATTTGATCAAAAATATGAATGATTTAGTTGTATATCTGTAAGCTTTAAAAGTGTTTAATTCTGACAATTACTTCCATTTTTATGCAATGATGCGCTAGTCACCTTACAGAGAAACCAATTAATTTCCCAGTAGAAGATGAATGATGATGCAAAGCTTTACCGTTGTGAATCATACATGCCACTCCATAAATGGAGGTTCAGTAAAATAAGTCTACAGTCCCTTTTAAAAAGTCTATTTAATATCTTTATCACTATGTTACCACCTGATGTCTAGGTGGTAACCCTGAAAAGTAAGGAAAGGCTAAACCTCGGGGACTGGACAAATATCAGGGTTGGAAGAAGGGGTGAGGAGGGATATCTTCAAATTCAAAACCAGGTTTAAGTGAAATATAAAATTTTTTACATCTTCTTCTATTTTAAAAATATGAAGAGACATTGTTGAAAATTTCGAAAAAATGTCTGAATGATTTAATAAGAGCAAATATATATATGAATATATGAAAAATTGAATAAGATAATAAATGAATGAATAGATGAATTAATGAATAGTTGAATAAATAAATGAATAAATGAATAAATGAATAAATAAATAAATGTAAGGATGAAGTGAGAGGGGTGAATGGGGCAGGGTTGCATACTCTAGATGTTGACAATATTATATACATAGGTAATCATTAATCTAAGTGCATCAAATCCTCCAACTTGCTATATCTTTTTTCAATTTGATCAAACTTTTTGGAATGAAATTCTGTTAAAAAACCAAATCATGTTTTAGGTGGATTACCAGACATGTCTACCGTCTCAGAATCTAACGGAGCATTGGTGCGCTTTGCAGGATGCATCAGGTGTCGTCTTTGTTTAATATCTGAAATATTATTCAAACTTTAAAAGACTTTTGAACTGATGTCAAGTGGTTTTCCATTAAAGAATTACATGCCTGATTCTAATCGATATTCTTTAAATAGTTTTCCAGCAAAAATAATATTATACAATTTTTTTTAAATTTTCAAATGGCATCAAACACTTTCCAATTCCGGTTTCCTTGCATGCACAAGCGTGCAATTTGCGGATTTATGTTGCTAAAACAAAGAAGGAAATTGACAGAATTAATCTCTTCTCACGGGTTAGATAAACGTCAATAGCTTCCTCATATTTTCTCAGATATACAGGGTTAAGCAAAAAGGATGAGACTTCACAGACGATTTTACGGGATTTGTTTAGTCCGTTTTCTTGCATTCAGGGTTTATTGTTGATCAAAACTGAGTATTTTCTGTGCGTAATCACTTAGTTAACCGTCAAAATACTCAATTGAATGCAGAAACCAAAAATCTAGCTTCAAATTGTCATATTTTAGAGTTTTGGGTCTTCAAATAAAGGTTCCTTGAAATCACACAGTTTTTTTACAGACATGATTAAGCAGTTTTTTTAGAAATTTTAAAAAGATTTATGAATTGCAAATCCGAAAATTAATTAGTTTCAAATCCCAAGCACTGAAGGCATAAAGTAGTGCTTTAATTAAGTCTTTAATGTATTATTCATCAAAGCAAGGAGTATTCTCACTCCACTCAAATACAATTTAAGCATTTTTTCCTACCAAGATGAAAAACTAAAGATTTGTTCACCAGGTCCAGGGCAAAGAGGCCCACCGCAACCAAATTTGTGAAGGTTTTAACAAATTTTTTTTTTGACTTGACTTTGCTGTTACATTGTGCACATACGTTATTTGATTAGCTTTAATTTAATGATATCTGTATTCTATAAAATTATTGATAATATGATATTGAAACTGGTAATTCTAGAATGATTTCAGAATGCACTATGGGAGCTGAAAAATTCACTTTTCTTGTTATAAATAATTGTCTATGTTCAGAATATGTTTGAGCTTAATGTTGTTATATTGATATAAAATTAGAATTAAAGGTTGAAATAAGGGGTCCAATTATAGTCATCAAAGTGTTTACTAAAGTTAGTGATTATCCCCTCAAAATATAATATTCTAATCCTTATATCTTTGAAACCTGATGTCTTAGACCTTTGATGTATCAACAAACTGAGATCTACTTTTTACAGGGTTACTCACAAAGATCAGACTTTTGAGACGATTTATTCAATATTTTTTCTATATCATTCTGTATGTCACCCCTTTGTATCAACAAATTAAAGAGTTTTTTCTTCTCATTAAAGTCTTGTTCTTTAAGGTTAACCCTGTACATAAATATAACTGGTTGAATTTAGGAACTTGAATGTGAATGAGAGGTTGTATGAGCTGAAGGCTGGACTAGGACGGGTTGGAGCGAATATCCAGGATTGTGATGGAACTGTGTGCGGGGGGGAGGTGTGTGGAGAGAAAGGTTTATGCTTCCTGGAGAAGTCAGGGGTTGGATACTCATGTAATTGTACAGAACCGTACACAGGTAAATATCAATTGTATAGAACCGTACACAGGTTAATATCAATTGTAGAGAACCGTACACAGGTTATTATCAACTGTATAGAACCGTACACAGGTTAATATCAATTGTATAGAACCGTACACAAGTAAATATCAATTGTATAGAACCGTACACAGGTTAATATCAATTGTACAGAACCGTACACAGGTTAATATCAATTGTATAGAACCGTACACAGGTAAATATCAATTGTACAGAACCGTACACAGGTTAATATCAATTGTACAGAACCGTACACAGGTTAATATCAATTGTATAGAACCGTACACAGGTAAATATCAATTATATAGAACCGTACACAGGTTAATATCAATTGTATAGAACCGTACACAGGTTAATATCAATTGTACAGAACCGTACACAGGTTAATATTGTATAGAACCGTACACAGGTAAATATCAATTATATAGAACCGTACACAGGTTAATATCAATTGTATAGAACCGTACACAGGTAAATATCAATTGTATAGAACCGTACACAGGTAAATATCAATTGTACAGAACCGTACACAGGTCAAAATAAATTGTACAGAACCGTACAAAAGTTAATATAAATTGTACAGAACCGTACACAGGTCAACATAAATTGTACAGAACCGTACAAAGGTTAATATAAATTGTACAGAACCGTACACAGGTTAATAACAATTGTACAGAACCGTAAACAGGTTAATATAAACTGTAGAGAACCGTACACAGGTCAAAATATATTGTAACGAACAGTACACAGGTTAATATAAACTGCACAGCCCATTTCTCAATATCAGTTTCACTAAATTGATTATGTTCTGCTAAAATTAGGCAAATATGTTATGAAAATACGTTTTTTTCTAAAAATATTCATTGATCAGCATTTATATCAATACAGTGAAGACTACTTGTCTAATTATCGTATTGATATATACGACGACGACTGCAATATATTTGTTTAGGAAGACATTGCGAAGTTCATTCAATGTGTAGTACATCACGTTGTAAACAAGGACACTGCAGGGTACATAGACTATTATTTAAATATTATTTACTAGAATGTTGAACGAATTTTCCAAAGATTTCCGAGACCATCTTGGCCCCTGTAAATTTGTTTACTAAATGAGAGACGTTTTTTTCAGGCAAACTGGGTTGAAGAAATCTGTATTATATTTGAAAAATGTATTTTACAATTTTACCACCTTGCGAAATGAAAGTATTCAATAATTTCACGAAAACCTATCAGAGCAGGATTTTATTAATTATCCTAAGACATTAAAGAAACACATAACATGGCACAAGAGTAGTGAATTGAGAGGATTATCAATGGTCCTATTATTGCAGGTATCTGAAGAGCTTGTCATGTGTGACTGTCCCCTGGGACATACTGGAGACAACTGTGAGAAAACAGCTGATATCAGTACACCACAGGAACAAAAATATAATATAATTAAACAAATATATTCTTATTATATTATCAGGACCAAACCAGATTACAAAAATACTTGGATTTTTTGTTTTTGTTCAGGAAAACCATAATGTTACCATAGTTGTTCAGGAAAACCATAATGTTACCATAGTTGTTCAGGAATACCATAATGTTACCATAGTTGTTCAGAAAAACCATAATGTTACCATAGTTGTTCAGGAAAACCATAATTTTACCATAGTTGTTCAGGAAAACCATCATTTTACCATAGTTGTTCAGAAAAACCATAATTTTACCATAGTTGTTCAGGAAAACCATCATTTTACCATAGTTGTTCAGGAAAACCATCATTTTACCATAGTTGTTCAGGAAAACCATCATTTTACCATAGTTGTTCAGGAAAACCAAAATTTTAAATTGGGGATTTTTGCCCTGATTTTCCCCAAATAAAATTTTGGTGATATTCATGTTGTTTGCGTTTCCAAGATCTTCATTTTTGTTTCTGTTGAATAGTTTGGTGGAGATCCATTTAATAGTTATATTCAATTCCAGCTTCCAGACCACAATTCAGTCAGGTAAATAATAATAATTCATAATTTTGTCGTAAGATGGCAGGGACAAGAACATGGAGTAAACATTGCTTTTCCGATTCTAATCTGCTTTAAAATGAATTTTTCATTCCACTCTCATATATATATTTTTGACTGTATAAAACCTTAAAAAAGGGAAGAGTTCGGAACTTTACCTTGAATAACACTAATCTGCAACGCATGACATCCATATCCACAACTAAAACTTATAATTTGATTCGAATTAGGCGTAATCCGTGAAAATTAAGTAACTTGTGTTTTAGAGATCTCGATCATTGTCCCGGAACAGAGTTCTGTAAGGAGTAACTACCAAAGTTCGACCTAATAGCATTTAATTATTTTTTAATATATGTATCTTAATAAACTCCTTTTAAGCTTGAATACAGAGTTGGAGCTGGAAATAAGAACTGACTCTGATAACGCACTCTTGGTTTGGTTTGGAGCAGAGACCGGAGATCTTAACTTGGTGGGAGGACGGAGGAAGGAGGGAAAAGAGAAGAGGATGAAAGAAGAACATGGTAAAGTACAGGAACAGGGGAATCAGGATTATCTTGGACTGGGAATAGAAGATGGACTTCTAAAGGTCAGAATAGTACTGCAGCGTGTCCTACTAAAAATGATAATTGAATTTTCATTTAGAATTTCTTAATTCGTCTTCAATAGCTTTATTGCGGCATTCATTTATGATCCTAATTTTCATAAAATGCGTCTTAAATTTTTTCAGATTTGCAAAAGTAAATGTTTTTTTTAATAATTCAATTTATCAAATAAAAGCAAAATATTATTAACATCTATAATGACAATTATTTATCTTAAAAACGAGATAAAGTTTTCTTGAGCTGGACACAATGCATCTTTTCAGATAATATAAAATAGTTTATAAACTTTTCATATCAATCTTAAAGGGACTGTAAGCGTAATTTCAAGTAACCTTCCATGAAAGATGGGAATGCCCGGTTTCCAACGGTACCCTTGTAATCTTTATCTAATCAGTAATGTAGCCGAAGATATTGTCATTTTCCTAGGTTTAAAACTGTTTAATTCTGATAATTCCTAAATTTAATCCTGCAGTAGAAATGCGCAATTTACATATTTAGAGAACCATTTGAAAATAACCAGTTTTCTAAACAATAAACATTGATTATTATTCATACTTGATCAGACAAAACTTTTAAGGGTACCGTTGTGAATCGGGTATTGCCATCTTTGCACGGAGGTTCACTTAAAATGATGATACGCATTTTCCCAAAGCGGCCACTTCCCAAGGGTATTTTCCCAAGTGGCAATTTCCCAACTGTACAATTTCCCAACTGTACAATTTCCCAAGCGGAAACTTCCCATGTTTATCCTAGTAGCAGCGCTCAGCCACCTTGCCCATCCTAGCCGCAGCGCTCAACCACCTAGCCCATCCTAGCCGCAGCGCTCAACCACCTAGCCCATTCTAGCCGCAGCGCTCGGCCTCCCATTGCAGCCTGTGGCGTCTCAGAAGGCCTAACCTATCCTTTGGTAAGTTGCTACTTGGAAAATTGTCCCTTGGGAAAATGCCTAACACCCTTAAAATTACGCTTACAGTCCCGTGAACCTCTAGGTGGTTTGGAACCTGGGTTGGTTTTCAAGATCTGAACTCCTAGTTCCTGAATTCAATATTTCGGATGGAAACTGGCATCATCTTCATCTTATCAGGTTATTTCTACCACCCCTGTACACATCGTACTATACTTTAATTCACCAAAATCATATTTTAATCCTTCGGTTACCATTTATAGAAATCGTCTTTCTTTATATAACAGGGAAAAACTGACACGTTCTTTCAACTGTTTTATTTCGAATTAACGTAGTAAATATAGTTATTTTTTTAGTAATTAATATCTGTATTTTTTTTACTTTTTATTCTGTTTTTCTAGAATAAATAAAGTGCAGCGATATTGCCTTCTGCCTTAAAGTTTTCATTTCCCCCAGCCTTTGAATCCATGTATAACATAAGAATAAACATAACATAAACTTTGATTGCATAAACCTTTAAAGATTAAAATAAAAATTTGCGTATTTTCGAGGGTACACTTTAGCTGATTAATAATGTGGAAGCTATCGTCGATTTTCTAGCTTGAAAAGTTTTTTTTAATAGTTAATACTGATATATTTCTTCTATTTTTCCACATCTGATTATGACAAGTGTTGTCCTAGTCATGCTGCTTAATAAAATGTTGGTTATAGTTTGGTTTGGAAGTGGAACTAATGTCCCATAGGGCCTTGAGAGATACTTATTTGGCGCTATGTGAAACCGGTTAAAACAGCCTTTTGTACAGCGTCATAGGTTATAACTTAAAGGTTATCATGACAAAAACTATCTTTCATTCTAATCTTCAGGGATATTTTTGGCTGGCTTATTACTGTCCTTATTACCAATATTGCTATGTGGTTAAGTTTCAGATAGAGAAACAATCCCGTTAATCTATTCATGAATTGTAGAGAGAAACAATCCCTTTAATCTATTCATGAATTTTAGAGAGAAACAATCCCTTTAATCTATTCATGAATTGTAGAGAGAAACAGTCCCTTTAATGTATTCATGAATTGTAGAGAGAAACAATCCCTTTAATCTATTCATGAATTGTAGAGAGAAACAGTCCCTTTAATCTATTCATGAATTGTAGAGAGAAACAGTCCCTTTAATCTATTCATGAATTGTAGAGAGGAACAGTCCCTTAAACTAATGATTGAGAAAGAAGAAGAATATGAGTCCACTGTACCAGGGACATACTATCAGCTCAATACAGGTATAACGAATAGTTTGATTTGATTTTTTCTTTAGATTTTTGGACTTTTAGAAGGGTCCACAAAAATACACAAAAACTTCCACTATTTCAAAACTGTATTTTGAAAAAGTTTGCAATATTTTATCCTTATCGAAAATATCTGGGGAAACGTTTTGTTCGATTTTTTTCAAATATTTTCTCTCAAGGTCCAAATTTGGCTTAGTGTACTGTGTAAGAAAAGCATATTTTTAGAATAAATAATTTTGAAATTTGTAAAAAAAATTTAAGATTTTTGGGGAAATTCTAATAAGTTTAAAACCCTGAAAAGTTTTTAAAAACGAGCTAAGCTCACTAGATGGGACTAGTGTTTCAATTCATTTATTACTTTTAGAAGGATAGTCCACAGGTCTGAAAGCATCTTAGATATTTAACATTTTAATTTTATTAAATTGTGCAACATTTTTACTCTGACAGTTAATAATAAGCTCAAAACAAAGAATGTAATTTTTTAAATAAATTGTTTTGGTTTATATCTTTTGACAGAGTAATAATTGTGCACAAAGTATTAAAAGCAAACTTAAGAGAACATTATTTTAGAAAATGCTAAAGATCTCAGATTACAATTGGTGCGTACATCGTTCATTAAAAATCCATTTCGTTTTTTTTCAGTCGTTCAGTAAAAATAAGAATTCGTTTTTTCTTAGAAGTATCGTTCATTTTACACTATTTCGTTCGTTTTCTAACGGAACGATAATTTAATTGAACCATTCCTACAGTAAGGACGTTCTTTCAGTAAAATTGTTGGTTCAATCAAATCGTTCGTTAAACAAACGATGGTATCTTCCAAAAAACTTTGATGAACTCTAGATGAACTCCTGCTTCAGGGTTACTTCAGGGTTACCCTAAAAAAATAATTACTTAAATGACGACCATAAACCTCTGAGGCTGAAGGCTGAACTTGGGTTTCTGTTCTGAAATATAGATTGTAAATAACAAACTCTTTGATTTTGATTTTCAGGGAATCATAAATATAAGAATAAAGACTAAATTAATTTCGTCTCTAAAGTCTCATCTTAGTGCGTAACCCTGAATATCAGTTCTGTGCACATTAGATTGAAGGATGTACTTACACAATGTATACGGTGTTCCAGAAGCAATAAATAATGAAATCAGCGCACAAAGACTTGTGTCCAGATTAATTATTATAAGTTTAAAATAAATTAAAATTTTCTTTTTCTAAAANTTCTCACACAAATTAGATATTTAATATGCATAGAACAAAGAGATACCATTTTGAAATCTCATTTGATTCTTGAAAACACTTATTAGAAATTCAAAGAAATCCTCTTTGTGTGTCTAATGTTTTTTGGGACATTTTGTACTTACTTTCCTAAAATTAGGATTCTTCGTTTATTGCGGCAATTCTAACTTAGAAAAGAAAAGTTCCAGCATTAATAATAAATTTTTGCGCATTCATAAAATTGCAGCAACTTTGTTCTTCAGGAAATCCAATACATCCAATGTTCTCAAGGAAATTTAATATAATTAGTGTAGTATTATTTTAGATGAATTTTTAGTTTGTGTAAATTATAAAATATTTTAATTAATCAGTACAAATGCACATTCGTAAAAAGTTGGTCGTACTTCTACATTTTCGCTCCCTTTATGTTTAATTTTTCAGGATCCTCTGTATTATTTGGATCCTCTGTAGAGGTGAAGGGGGTAGAGGATCTAACAAGAGGACATTTTAGGTCAGTTTGAAAAAGCTTTAAAAATAATATGAATATTATTTTTACATAGTAGTTGAAGTGCCCGGCGTTGCACGTGGAATTTTAAAAAATTAGAATTTTGAAAAAAAATTATTAAAAAAAATAATTCGAATTATTTTTACCTTTACCCTATGATCCACAGGGCCCAGGGTACCCATGAGTTTCCTAAAAAAAATCAGCCAATTTGGTCCAGCCGTTTTGGCCACCTATAGCTAACATATATACAATATACATATATACATACAAAAATATATATATGTATGTGCGCATGAAAAGCTTTATTCTATAGAAAATCTTTTTTAACGAATTGGACGAACAAAAATCACTGCATTGTCTTTTATAATTTTGTTAACTACTGATTTTTCTTACCAATACAATAGTTTTAGTAGCTAAGGAGACCTTGTATAGGCATTTTATAAAAAAAACCAGATGAAGGGCCTGGCGTTGCCCCTGAAAAAAAATTTTAAATTAAAAAAACAACAGGGAAATAAAAAAACTAATAGCGAAATAAACTTTAATTATGAATCTTAAATTTTAACAAAATAATAATAGCTTTAGCTAGTTAATTTAATGGATAATCTTAACATAACATATGTCAAACTGTGCTATTATAAGAATTATTACCTATTCGCCAAACAGTATTGAAATATAGATAAATGCTTGTATTTTTAGGGCGAGCTATAAAGGATGTATGAGAAATATTAAAATTCAGGAACCAAATACTCTTAAATATCATTTTTTTTTGTCAAAATATTTTCTATTCCTAATTATCTCTGATAATTTGACAAAGTGTATTCTTCTTTGAATCATGAAAAGGTATCTTTAAATTTCTAAATTTTTTGAATTTTATTTTTAACACGTCTTAATACAATCCACCTACAGAAGTATCATGTCCTTTAGCTAGGGATGGTAACGTTTTCATTTTTTTTTAAACGTTCGTTTCGTTATGAAAACGACGACAAAAAAAAAAACAAAAAAGAAACGATCGTTTTTAAAAACAATCGTTTTACAGTTCGTTTTTCAAAAAGGTAGTTTTCAAAACGATCGTTTTGCAAAATGATCGTTTTTATCAAGCTCACCGTTAACGATCGTTAACGACGACCCTTCGTTTTTATAAAAACGATCGTTTCCGTTATTCGTTTTCTGAAAGTTCAAAACGAAACGATCGTTTTTGAAAACGATCGTTAAAGAAACGATCGATTAACGATCGTTTTAAAAAACGATTAACAACCCTACGACTGTGGCTGTGTTACGTTGAGATTGTTCTAAAACGAAACAAATAATGAGTGAAACTATCAAATATATGAGTGAAACTATCAAATATATGAGTGAAACTATCAAATATATGAGTGAAACTATCAAATATCTGAGTGAAACTATCAAATATATGAGTGAAACTATCAAATATATGAGTGAAACTATCAATTATATGAGTGAAACTATCAATTATATGAGTGAAACTATCAAATAAAACCTCTGAAAACCGATTATTTGTTTGTGTTTATCTTTTAGGCCGTAAAAATGGATTTATTGGCTGACATCGAAAAAAAATCGTCTTTTTTCGAAACTTTTGTGATTTCTAAGTTAACATTCATTAACTTTTGCGAAATTTAATAAATGCAAATGACTGAATTCACTATTTCGCGAATTTATTCAAAATTTGCAGTACAGGTCGTCATTATGTTTGTATAACAATGTATGAAGAGTATTTTATATTTGAGCAGGGCTTGAAGGTTGATACATCGGACCAGGATAGATTGACCGGAAACAATATTGCCCAGTGTACGTGACCGAGCCAGCTCATCTGGATTAGACCAATTGCCAACCCTAAACATGGATCCATTAAATCCTTCCTCGCTCCCTCGCAACAGGGAAATAAAAAAACTAATAGCGAAATAAACTTTAATTATGAATCTTAAATTTTAACAAAATAATAATAGCTTTAGCTAGTTAATTTAATGGATAATCTTAACATAACATATGTCAAACTGTGCTATTATAAGAATTATTACCTATTCGCCAAACAGTATTGAAATATTCTTAGCATTGTAGAAAAATACGCTCAGAATTGCAATAAAATTCTTTAATCTTTCGAATTGTGTTATACGTTATACACGAGAAAGGAATTGAGTCCTTGCCACAAATTCTGATTTTTTAATCCCTATGTCGTAAACCTTAGATATTTCAAACTTATATTATTTGATCTAACAGAAGTAATAGTTTGAAATGTCAAATGTCTACAACATTGGACTGCGAAGATATAGGAATTAGAAAATCAGAGTTTGTGACAAAGACTCAATTCCTTTACTATTATTGTAACTTTATCTAACGTCTTAGAATGTCTTAAAAGGATCACCATGTTGGCTTGGTCCCTCAAGTAGACCGTATAAACTATACTCTATTTCGTGGCGCTTGTGCCTTGAGTAAAAGCAGTTAGAATATTCTTCCAATCACATTTTGTTAATTACTTAATAATAAATTTATGTTATATCTGTTAAATTAATTCAACTTTAAAAATGTAAAAAATATTGATTAAAATAAAGAAATTTGTTGTTTGTTCAACAGTAAAACAAGTCGAGAGAGAAAACGTAATTAAAGTTTAATGAAACATGAAAAGTTTTAGTTGGCTATTATTCTTTTAAAACTAATCATGAAACTTTGTGGGATGTGTCAAAATATCTTGTTTTAATTTTCTAATAACCCCCCCTCACCCCTCTTCCCATCCTCCTTACTATATGTAAACGCAAATCTATAGAACCAGGGGTGGATTTAACCATCATCTCGGGGACAGTAAATTCTAATTTCTTATTCGTTCAAAAAATACACGTTTACAAACTCCAGTTCTCCTACTTTCTATCTGTTAACTCCAGTTCTCCTACTTTCTATCTGTTAACTCCAGTTCTCCTACTTTCTATCTGTAAACTCTAGTTCTCCTACTTTCTATCTGTAAACTCCAGTTCTCCTACTTTCTATCTGTTAACTCCAGTTCTCCTACTTTCTATCTGTTAACTCCAGTTCTCCTACTTTCTAAATGTAAACTCCAGTTCTACTACTTTCTATCTGTAAACTCCAGTTCTCTTACTTTCTATTTGTAAACTCCAGTTCTCTTACTTTCTATCTGTAAACTATAGTTTCCCTACTTTTTCAGGTCATTTATTCAATTCTATTTTCGTTTCTTCCCTCTAATCCGCCCCTGAATAGAACAACGGCAAAATCTAATTATTCTCAAAAATACTCTGCATTCATGTTTTCTTTTTTAGTTTTTCCCTGAACTTAATTTTACAAGGAATTTATCAATCAATAATTAGTTATGGTTTATTAGACTAGAAAGAAGGAGAAGGTCAAATATAAGCGACATTACTGTTGGGACTTTTTCAGCTCGTAGCTCCTCTAGTTTGCATTTTACGCACAAGTATACAAAAGGCGAAACTCTCCTGTTACATATTAGAAATTCAAAACATGTCTACTCTTCTCAATAGCTCTTTCATATGATTGAAAACATATAAGATGTCATTCCTACGTGCAATTTTATTTTAGATTAATGTGGTTTAAGTTTAAGTTTTGATTATATGATATGAACAAATAAATAGATTATTTAGAATGATTATATATTTTCCTGGACGCAAATTACTGAACATGATGTTAAGCATTGTCTATAAGACTATTAAGTGAGGTAGGAACCCATCTTGTATCGTCCTGGACGAAAATAACATTACGGTCCAGGTAGCAGTGCTGCCGGCCAACCAGGTATATTTGTTTACCCTCGCGCAGCCGACCAGGAACAGGTCTAGAGAAAAATCAATAATTCAATCAATCAACCAAAAAAAAAAAAAATTATCAACCAATCCACCAAAAATAACCAACCAACCAATCAACCATACAGCTAGTCAATGCAACCAAGCGAAAAATTCAAATTTAGTTGCTATAATTTTTGTCTTAAATGAATAAAAACGTAAATCCTTAAAAAAAAATACAGGAAAAAGGTGAAAACATTCTTAAAGTAAAATAAAAAGGGTAATACGGAAAAATTATAAGAATTATGAAAGACGAAAATTTAATATAAAAGTATTAAGAACCTGAAAATAGTTCCCCTTTCCTCACATCTCCGAGCAATCATATCCTTGAATCCCTGAACAAATGTTAAATTTAGTTTTGGCGTTTTGAAAAAATATGTAACTGTAACATTTGAACATTTTAGAGGAAACAGAAAGTCAGATTTACAAAATCTTTAGCGGTGTTTCTATTCAAAAAAGGAACGGAGACAACAGTCATTTCTATAGTTTGTCACTTTACACTGGCAGTGTACTATGTGTGGAAAATGGACCATTAGGTTTCAAGTCAAAACGCCTAATTTTTTTCACAATACATTAATATGCAAAAAGGGAATTTTAAGAAAATTAATTTTTAAGAAATCGTAGGAACCAGGTGCATTTTTATGTCTAAAACAAAACGTGACTGTAGTTTCAAGGCTTCATTAAGCTTATTCAGAATTTTGTTGCGATATTTTTTGAACCGTATATTGCAGTATCTTGAACAGTTATGAGACATGTACGGATAGCATAAATATACTACCTGGGGTATCTGAGAACTGGTTTTCACTGCTTCTGAGATTGAATCAAACTTGTTTTTGTTTCCTACATCCAAACCTGCAGGCTTCAGTCGATTCGTCTCAAATTCCCTAAAAGAAAGCTAGATTGATGGGTAAATGCAAAGATAAAAGGATAAACAATTATAATAAAGTTATCCTAGAGGTTGAAAGACATCAAACTTAAGATTCAATCAAAAATAGAAAGATAAAAAAGAAAGCTAGATAGATAAGGATTCATAAGGAAGTGAAATCTGCGAGAGGCCCCATTAATAGATAGAAATATAGACGGTCTCCTACTATACTAGTTACCTGGTGGTCAAATACTTGACGTTCTCTAGTGCTCCAGGTTACTGGGAGATCGGACCTCCTACTATACTAGTTACCTGGTGGTCAAGTACTTGACGTTCTCTAGTGCTCCAGGTTACTGGGAGATATAACCTCCTACTATACTAGTTACCTGGTGGTCAAGTACTTGACGTTCTCTAGTGCTCCAGGTTACTGGGAGATAGGACCTTTTACTTTTCTAGTTACCAGGTGGTCAAGTACTTGACGTTCTCTAGTGCTCCAGGTTACTGGGAGATAGAACCTTTTACTTTACTAGTTACGTGGTGGTCAAGAACTTGACGTTCTCTAATGCTCCAGGTTACTTGGAGATAGGACCACCTACTATACTAGTTACCTGGTGGTCAAGTACTTGACGTTCTCTAGAGCTCCAGGTTGCTGGGACATGGGACCTCCAACAACACTTCTGTTCATCATGTGTAGTGCCTGAACATTAGAATTATTTATAATCTAAAAAAAATAATGAAGACGAAAGAAAAATGTGTTGGAAGAAAAATTTATATTCCTCTTTTTTCTTCATATCAATAAAAAAATAATCAAAAATCACTGTTGCTTAAACTAGTCGATAACTCAAGTTCAAATACTATAGGATAAGCTAGTATAGTATAGGAGTGAGTATAGGTTTACTTGCTGTATATGTTCTGTTACTCTGGGTTGAGCTAGTATAGGAGTGGGTATAGGTTTACCTGCTGTATATGTTCTATTACTCTAGGTTGAGCTAGTATAGGAGTGGGTATAGGTTTACCTGCTGTATATGTTCTATTACTATAGGTTGAGCTACTATAGGAGTGGGTATAGGTTTACCTGCTGTATATGTTCTACTACTCTAGGATGAGCTAGTATAGGAGTGGGTATAACCCCCTTCCAACCCTGGTACCAGGCAGTTACTTCAGTATAGTTAGGATTAGAATTTAACCAAGCAGCCAAAACCTAGATAAAAATGTTTTTTTTATGGATTGTCAACTTAACTGGAGTGACTTCCATATAATAAAAATAACATTAACACCCATACAACCCTAAGCCAACGAATACCAAACGAATACCAAACGAATATTAACGAATACCAAACGAATACCTACAAATACCAAACGAATACCAAAGAATACCAAACTAATACCATTGAATGCCAAACGAATACCTACAAATACCAAACGAATATCAACGAATACCTAACACATACCAAAGAATAACAAACGAATACCTACGAATACCAAACAAATACCAACAAATATCAAAGGAATACCTACGAATACCTACCAATACCAAACGAATATCAACGAATACCAAACAAATACCTACGAATACCAAACGAATACCAAACGAAAACCTACGAATACCAAACGAATACCAACGAATACCAAACGAATACCAACGAATACCAAACGAATACCAATGAATACCAAACAAATACCTACGAAACCAAAGAAATACCAACAAATACCAAACGAATACCAACGAATACCAAACGAATACTAACGAACACCATCTAAAGAACTAGTGAAGTATTTTCAAGACTACAATCCATTTGTAGAAAGCATGTCCGATTCACAACAGTATTTTTTAACCTTTGAAGGATCAAAGATAGTGGCGCTGATCTTATCATATCTATGTTGGACATAGAACATTAGGAATATTCGGGAAATGTGTCTATTTGCACTGAGTTCACACTGTATACTTCTATAGTTTCCAGGTATAAGACATAAGAAACTTTTAGGGTTGTTCTCAGATTAAGTAGCCAACTTAATCCATGGAAATTAAAACCCTAGTCACCGTAAACTACAGCAGTGTAGCTGGGCGTAAGGGGCTACAATTGCAGTCCACCAATCTCATTATGAACTCATAACGCCCAATTGGCATTATTTCTTTCTTTGGAATGAGTTTGGATTGTGCTTAAGTAGAAGTTTGTATCAGAAAATAAAGATTTAATAGGATTGAGAATGATTTGTAACTGAAGAATGATTTTAATATTAGATAACTCATAAGGTTCTACTCACCCAAGTGGTTTGCATTCAAAATTTATCGAGAAAAATAAGGATTTCTTTACTTTCGCTGATGAGACAAGGTTTTACATGTTATGGTTAAGAATTTGACATGAAAGTCTTCACTTGGAGGGTCATAGAAACTAAGTCTGTAAAGATATTTTTGTCTTTCATGATGCGTCAGGGGAACAGGAAAAAAAAATAAAAAATCTTGAAAAGAAAATTATCATGGAAAAAATGTTTATATTGGAAAAATAATTATCAACGTTAAGATGACAGAAAACAAAAACGCGGGAAGTCTTTATCAAAACATTTAGAAAAATAAAAATAAAGCTTCAAACATTTATCAGGGGTCGGAACTTTTGAACGCTTGATCTCGATATTTAACATGGGCACTATTAAATTTTATAAAAAATGCTTTATATCCCTCAATTAAGTATATCCATAAAAACATGAGTTTTCTCAAAAATATCTCGATGAAAAAAGTTAGGATAATCATTTTTCTCATTGATTTTACTTATACTTTCGAACCCCATCCAACCTTTTTTCTGGGGCATTTCAAAAGTCTTGATTTTGTTCAGGCGCACTGTGGCCTTTTAACTACCTGTAACCATCTAGGAAAGAAGTTGACCGCAATTATATCCGCTAGAGCAGCTGGGGGCACCAGTCCGGTCCAATCCACTACAGCGTGCCATAGGGTCAAATCCTGGAGTAATCAATCAATCAAATCATAATTAATTGATTAACTATTAATTAATTATTGATCTAAAAGCTAAGAAAATTTTTAAAGATTATCAACTTTAGCATCCCAGATATGAGATAACTAATGGCTATAAAATCTTGAGTAAAGCCATAAAGCATATAGTACTTAATAAAATCTAGAGTAATGCCGAGCATACAATACTTAATAAAATCTAGATTCTAGAGTAATCAAAGCATGTAATTTATAAGTTTGTTTTCCAATTAAGATATAATCTAGATTGTTAAAATATCACTTTTATCTATTTTAATCCGACAAGAGCAACAAGTTTTAAAATCCTACATAGTTCTTACTCTCAGATAAGGGAGTGTAAACGTAATTTCATGACCCTTCATGCGAAGATAGCAATACCCGATTCACAACGGTACCCTTAAAACCTTTGTATGATTAAGTATGAATTAGATATCAGTGTTTATAATTTCAAAAACTGATTAATTTATGAATCGTGCATTGCCATCTTTGTATGTAATTACAATTTGTATGTAATTGCAATACCTGAAATTACACTTACAATCCCTTTAAAATAAAAACTGAAGTATTGACCTGATTTATTGGATTAATGGGTAGATGAAGCAGTGCAGCTTCTAGTTTAGGAATTATATTGTTCAGAAGAAACGCGTTCATAGATCCTTTAGTAAAGACCTCGGCCCAGGGAGCCAGGATGCTTCGCGCCGATCTATCCGCGGGATGCCAGTTTGCCAGAGCAGACGCCAGCTTATTCCTAAACATTAAAATACATGAAGGTAATGTTCCCGAAATATGAAAGAGAGTCAATCTAGAATAAATCATAATTCCATCATGAAATAATTGATACTATTTTTATTTTAGTAGCGGATCGAATATAGTATTTACCTGATAGTAGGATACACAATATCCAACTTGTTTCCTAGAGGAGGAAGCCAGGGGTGTATCCAGGTGTGTATTGGAGTTGTATCCGTCAAGGGATTCCACATCTCAACCTCAGCCTGGAGAAAAGTATGTTATTATCATCCTATTCTTGATCTTGATTTTGATCTTGATCTTATATAATTCAGCTGATGCCAGTCAACTAACTCTCATTGTACAAAGTTAAAGCTTTGACGTTTTATTTGTTCTATTTTCAATATATCCAATTAAAAGACGGAATAATAGAAGTAAAATGTTTTAGACGGAAAAAAAAACAATCTAATCTCATTACAAATCAGTTTTATTCAATTTATAAAAATTTTCCGATATATTTATAGTTATTTTTAAGGATGAAAGGGTGAAGGATGAAGTTTAAAGATGAAAGGGTGAAGGATGAAGTTTAAAGATGAAAGGGTAAAGGATGAAATTTAAAGATGAAAGGGTGTAGGATGAAATTTAAAGATGAAAGGTTGGAGGATGAAGTTTAAAGATGAAAGGTTTGAGGATGAAGGTTTAAGATGAAAGGGTGGAGGATGAAATTTAAAGATGAAAGGGTGAAGGATGAAGTTTAAAGATGAAAGGGTGGAGGATGAAATTTAAAGATGAAAGGTTTGAGGATGAAATTTAAAGATGAAAGGTTTGAGGATGAAGTTTAAAGTTGAAAGGGTGAAGGATGAAGTTTAAAGATGAAAGGGTGGAGGATTAAGTTTAAAGATGAAAGGGTGGAGGATGAGGTTTAAAGATGAAAGGGTGGAGGATGAAGTTTAAAGATGAAAGGGTGAAGGATGAAGTTTAAAGATGAAAGGGTGGAGGATGAAGTTTAAAGATGAAAAGGTGAAGAATGAAGTTTAAAGATAAAAAGGTGGAGGATGAAGTTTAAAGATGAAATTAAAAATTATTAAATTGACCTGGAGTCTGATTAGAACCATCTGATCCAGAATATATTGGAGAATCCAGTTCGGGAGTAGAGGTCTCCACAATTCAAGGAAACCTTAAATAGAAGATAAATATACGCCAGTTTTACAAGTGACTCTATACTTCTTCAACTTCAAGAATCCGGAATCAGGCACACATTATAATAGGTAAAGGGACTTTTAATTTCAAGTACCCTCCATTTAAAGAGGGGCCTGTTCACAACGGTATTAGGAATTGCAATAGAAAATAACTTTAATTGACAATGCCATTGAGAAATGTCTGAACTACAGTGTTATTCTAAATAAACTGGAATAATGAATTAATTGATAGAAATAGTTTGCGATATTCGTTATGCAACCTACTTTTACAAATATTTTTCATGAAACAATAATCACGAAATAGCTCTAGTCCCGCCATTTACAAAATGTGGTCTGCCATGTTTTGCTTTTTAAAATTACCAGAGATACTGATGAATTATTCATAAAATAATTATGCTAAAGGTAGGTTGCCAATGAATGCTGCAATCTATTTCTAAGGTCAAAGACTACTTCAAGTCTTGAATCAATTATTGAATTATTCTATTTTATTAAGAATAGCGTTATAGCACTGTCATATTACCTATAAGTGAATCTGGTTGTCTAGACTGCCATCTCTGAACTGCTAACCGAACTGTAGGAATCCAGGCTTCCCATAACAGAGTGTGATACGCTGGCATTGGCTCAGAAGGACCTGGTTCAATCAATAATTTTTATAAATATTTGTTAAACAAAACATTTGCAAGTGGGCAGTGTTAATTGTTATTTTTCAGCTTTCTGAAGACAGATTTTAGTTTTTTAATCGTCTTCCGTTCAAGTTCAACTGGACAGAATTAAACTTTTCAAATGATTCTCCTGAAGCAATTATTAATAATCGTTGCATTCATGTGTGACCCAAAAAAAAAATTAAGAAAAATTATATTTTAATTATTTTTTCATAATTTTTTAGGTTAAAAAGTATTTGTAAATCAATCATGAATGATTTCTGATTAGTTCCTTCCGCATTTGCCCAAAAAAACAATCCCTTTAAAATTTTATTTATGTGACTTAGTGTACCTGGTTGAAGAATAAACTGATTACTCTCCTCCTCCAATATATCCCTCCACTGAGTGAACGTTGTGAGGTGAGGAATACTTTCATTCTTCCCAGCCAGGGGGGTCCAACCCAGTAGGGAGCTCTTCACCAGGGGGACAACAATAGTGGAGGCAACATACTAAATATACAATAGTGGAGGAACATCCTAATATACAATAGTGTAAGCAACATACTAAATATACAATAGTGGAGGCAACATACTAAATATACAATAGTGGAGGCAACATACTAAATATACAATAGTGGAGGCAACATACTAAATATACAATAGTGGAGGCAACATACTAAATATACATTAGTGGAGGCAACATACTAAATAAACAATAGTAGAGGCAACATACTAAATATACAATAGTGGAGGTAACATACAAAACATACAATAGTGGAGGAAACGTACTAAATATACAACAGTGGAGGTTACATACTAAATTTACAATAGTGGAGGTAGCATACTAAATATACAATAGTAGAGGCAACATACTAAACACACAATAGTGGAGGTAACATACTAAATATACAATAGTGGAGGTAACATACTAATTTTTACAATAGTGGAGGCAACATACTAAATATACAATAGTGGAGGCAACATACTAAATATACAATAGTGGAGGTAACAAACTAAATTTACAATAGTGGAGGCAACATACCAAATATACAATAGTGGAGGCAACATACTAAATATACAATAGTGGAGGAAACATCCGAATATAGAACAGTGTAAGCAACATACTAAATATACAATAGTGGAGGCAACATACTAAATATACAATAGTGGAGGCAACATACTAAACAAACAATAGTGGAGGCATCATACTAAACATATAATATTGGAGGCAACATACTAAATATACAATAGTGAAGGCAACATACTAAATATACAATAGTGGAGGCAACATACTAAACAAACAATAGTGGAGGCAACATACTAAACAAACAATAGTGGAGGCAACATGCTAAACAAACAATAGTGGAGGCAACATACTAAACATACAGTAGTGGAGGCAACATACTAAATATACAATAGTGAAGGCAACATACTAAACATAAAGTAGTGGAGGCAACATACTAAATATACAATAGTGGAGGCAACATATCAAATTGCCCAAATTCCAACTAAAAACGGTCTAGCTAGATGATCCGTGGTCTAACTTTAAACTGAACTCTAAATCCTCTAGAAGCACAAAACATAAGCCGAAGGAGTTATAAATTTAACAATGGCTGGCTGGATAATGGAAATTGTTTAGAAGTGTCTTAAAATAACAAGGCACCTGAAGTTCAAACTCTCTGAATTCTTTCTGGAACTCGTCTTTAAGTCTCTGGAACGCTTTGAGTGCAAGTTCCATATCCAGGGTTCCATCTACAAACTTCTGTTCCAACCTAAACAACAAAATTATAGAATAAGAGCTCAAGAGTATAAACATAGTCAGCTGATTTAAAAGGATTTGGGTCTGAAATCTCTGGATTCCCACCCCCTTCCCATGTAAATATATGCAAAATATTTAAGGCTCGCTTAAGTTAAGAATATGAATAGGAAGAATAATATGAATAAGACCCCCGAAATGGAATTCCCAGATTGCCATCGGATAAATAGATAAATAGATAGACACTAAATTTGATATTTAGTAGGAGGAGGGGGAGGTTGCGGGGGGTCCAAGTGGCATTTCATAAGATTTCACTTGGAATCTTGTTTTCTTAGCAAAATTGACATTTTATATCGCAATTTTTTTTCTTTCTATCATTTAGGAAAGGTGGATTTTTTGAAAAATTGTACTTTTTTATCTATGGAACAATTCCGATCGATTGATATTAATTAGAGGTATGTAGCACTAATATTAAGGAAGCATTAGCCGTTTGAAATTTGCCATTTTAGTTTGGTTGAGTTCATGAATTTATTTTTTTAGAATTTTAAACATAATATGAAATTTCATTATATGGTCTTAAAACATGCAAATCTTGTAAACAAATCTTAAAAATGCGCAGTTATTGTTGAATAATGGCAAGACCTCGGTTTATAACGCAGGAATGTAACTCCCTTGCTTTAGAGTACCACAAAAAAGGGTCACAGAATTAAACGTTATGCCTGATCTTACCATAGACTTTGGTTGTAAATTTTCCAATACAAGACAGCCTGCTTTCTGTGACGTAAGGAGAATTTATAAAACGGTAATGGAGTTAGGGACAGTACTTAATTTGAATATGGATAGCAACTGAACTGAAATATCAACTATACCGGCCGATCAGAAGACCTAAAACCTAAATTTTCCAAGAAGGATACAGTTTCATACCTAGATTTTCAACCAAGCCAAAATAGCAAATTTCAATCGGTCAATACTTCCTTAATGTTAGTGCTACAAACATCTAATAGGTATCAATCGATCGGAAATATTCGAAAGATTTCAAAACTGTACAATTGTTTTAAAAATTGAACCATTATGAGTATGTCTTAAAGATCGTTTTTATGGGACACCTTGTATGTCTATACTTTTCGAGCTGGGGGATTATCGTTCTTTTGTGAAGTTGCGAACAACCTGTCAATAACAGCAATGATCTGCTCCAAGCTCTCTATCTGATCCTTCTCCCTGTCCACCAGGATACTCAGCTTCTCCCCCTCACTGTCCAGGAGGGATACTCGGTCCTTGTGATGAACCAGCTGCCGGTCAGCTTGGATTATATCCTAGAAAAATAATTCAATTTTTAAACCAGAAATCCAATTTCAAATGCATCCGGACTCGCAGCATCAAAATAATCAAGAACTTCACTAAATCACAAGACAATTTTTTTTAATTCTAAATCCAAACCTCAGATCCTCATCTTGTTTAAAGGATATGAAAACTACCCAAAAGCTTTAATTTTCTGATATATATTTGCAACCTGTTGGTGTAAACCTTTATCATTTCAAATTTAGACTATTTGATCAAACAGAGTTCATAGTCGGAATTATCAAAGTTTTAAGATTTTAGGTTGCAAAGAGTTAAGGATTAGAAATTTAAAGAAATTATCTTTATTGTTAAACAGATTTTAGATAAGTATCTGGATTGGATCCGGAATTCAGTTATAATTCTTCAATTATCATCCAGAATCCAGATTGAATAGGTTGAAAAACAAAACGTCCCCCAAAAAAAAGAAATTAATAAATGTTCTCTAAAATGGGCTGGGATTTTTTCAATTTTTGACGGATGTGAAGAAACAGACAGTTATGCCTTTTTCAGAACTTACAAAAGATGATTTAACATCGAAACTATAATTAATCCCACTGAAAATCCGGAGTTAAAAAAATCATTTTTAACAAACAAAATTTATATTCTCTGTGTTAGCTATACCTGTTCACACATATCTACCAACAAGTTTAGATTATGAATTAACTCCGGTAGCTCAAAGTTTCTTTTCTTTTTACCCTAAAATACATAAAAACATTTATAAAATTATTTCGATTTATTTACTATTGATTGTGTATTGGAAAGGGTTGGGGGGGGAAGGGGGATTTGTACCTGAGAGGAAAGATGGTGTTTTGAAGAGAAACCATCCTCATCCGGTCTCTGCTGTCCGGATATAGACTAAATGATAAAAATGTCTAGTATGGTCTGATTACTGTTTAGATACAAAAAATCAAGCTTGGGAAAAAACTAAAACATGGTATTTCAAAATGGAAATTAACACCCCCCCCCCCAAAAAAAAAAAAAAAAACGAAAAAATACTTGTTGATGAGGGGCATTATATACTCCTGTAAGAGTGAAGTGAGATAATCCGGCGATCCGATTAAAGAAGAACACATATTACTATTATACTTTATCAACTATAAAATGTGGGATTTTCCAACTGCTTCAAAGTTTCAGAATGAGTTTCAAGACCTAAATGAACTTTGGTTCTTTATCTTCAGCCTGAACTTTTTATATTGATAAATAACGTTGTTTTAGACAGGTTCCAGCAAACGACCAAATTAAAGCTTCTATCAATAACGATTTCTAACCAAGGTTTTGAACGTTAAATAATGGTTGCTTCCCCTTGGGGCTTTCACAAAACAAGATGAAGATATGAAGATATGAAGATTTGAAGATTTGAAGATTTGAAGATTTGAAGATTTGTAGATTGAAGATTTAAAATTTAAACTACTCTTTATAAATATAAGTATTCATTTCATGACAAAAATACTTTTATGTAAATAAATAAATTTTTGGACAAAGGAAAATCTAGGAGCTGAATTTAGGGTCTTCCTCAGAGGACAAGGCTATTGAAAGCATGAATCCTTGTTTTTACCTGATAACCGGTTAAAACACGCTCCTCACGTCCTGTCATATCAATAACCTAGAGATAAGCATCTTCAATAAGAAATTAAAAGTTTACTAGTTCCTTCCGGTATATTAGAAAATACATTTTAATTTATTATTTTGATAATTTACTTTAAGGGACTGTCCTTGTAACCCTTGGCACATTTATCTAAACCATATATGTGGAAGATATTATCGTATTTCTAGATTAATAAGAATTGTTTAATTTTGAGAACTTTTCTAATATGTTTCTGCAGTAGAAATACGCAACTGCAAGTTACTTTTGTAGAGAATAAACACAATTAAAAATAATCAGTTTTCAAAAAAATAAACATCATGAATATAATATAGATATCACTTAAAATTACGTCTACAGTCCCGTTAAGTATGTTTAATGTTCATATTGTAATTTAAAATGTAATCCAAATAGAAAGAAGACAATGTAGGTGAATAATTTCAGTCCTGACCTTAACCGTAGATGTTTTCTGATCATCTCTCTTGATCTTCCTGAACTTTCCTTCCTCCAGTACCTCTTCAACAGACTATACAGCAGGGAGATCAAGATTATCAACATGCAGAGTTTTCATAAAGTAAATAATAAACAACAAGAAATAACATAGGTCGTAGTTAAATTCGTTTTGTTAACCTTAATCATGCTCAAAAGTATTTTTTAACCTTAAGTAATTGTCTTTATTTCATATTGTTTCATCGTGCGTGTTATAGTTCATGTAAACTTTGATAAAAATTGTAAAAATCATAAGAACCTTTTTCATAAAATAAATAGTGACCAAGAAATAAAATAGGTCGTAGTTGAATTCTTTTTTGTTAACCTTCATTGTGTTAAAAAGTATAATATTAATCTTCGGTAAATGACTCTATTTCATATTCGATCATCGACCATGCGCGTTTTTTTTATAAAATAAATGGTAATCAAGCAAAAAGAAATGTCATTCCCTTTAATCGTATTCAAAAATATAAAGTGTTTGTCTTCCAAGCATATCCGATCACGAGGGAGGGGGGAGTGCAGAAGTACTCAATGGGTAATCACCGCCACCTAAACGTGTTTTGCGGCATGCGCGCGACTTAATTGTTAATCTCCACCACCTCAATTGATAATCAGACTAAAAAAGCGTAACATTAAATCGTTTATTTCTTAGAAATAAGACAATATTGACATCTGTAAAAGCCCTATGGTGTACAATATTGTTAAAGCTTTCTTTATTGCTCCTCAATCTGTAAGTACACGTTCGGGTGGCGGTGATTACCCATTGAGAACTTCTGCGTCCCCTCCCCCCTCCTACGATCACCGATAGTCTCCAATTTTTCACCAGAATTTTTTTCCGGCGGAAATTTTAATTTCCAAAAAAGATGAACCAGAAAACGGATTTCCGGTAATTTTCCGTCACGGAAATTTCCGCCGGAAGCCAGGAAAAGATTTCTGCTGAAAAAGATGTTTAACAAGTTTTGATGGAAATTAATCAGGGCACGGTAAACAGTGTTTACAGTACAGGAAATAATCCTGCATTTTTTAAAGTTTTAAATTATGACTTTAAGACTTTATTTTTGATCTTGATATTTTCCTTGTAAACATATTCAGCAGTTCTTTTCTTCCCTCCAACCTCGTTAACAGTCTTCCACTGCCTAGGATACAGAGGTCAAAACTTTTAAATCTTAAATCTATGTAAAGCACAAAATTGGTTTCCCTCCCCCTTGTGGTTTAAATTAAGTCGTCGAAAACGCCATGCATTTGTAAGAACTATTTCTTAATCTTCACTCAGTAAATTTTCCATAAATCCACGAATTATTTTTGTTTTGTTTTACGATGTACACAAAGTGAACATGTTCACAATTAATTTAGAAGATGGCTAGTTTTATAAAAAATTAATATTTATTCTGTATTTCCTAAGTTTAGATTTAAACTCAGCCTCCTCTTCATCCTCGCTGTCAGCCTTTCCTTAAAAAAAAATAGGAAATGTGTCAAGTAATTTCAAGAGATGACCATGTATAATTGACTAAGGTGTCTTAAATTCTTATTGATCGAGAATGAAAAGGATATTCTTATTTTTCTATCTGAAAATTATTTGGTTTTTTAAAAAAAATTATGATTTCTCTTTAAAGTGACTCATGCGGCGGATTAAATGAAAACAATAAACAGAATTCATGACTTAAAATAGAAAAAGGACTATATCTTTCTCATTGTTACTCAGAAGTTCACAGGGTACAGTTAAAAAAAAAAAAAGTAATTTAAACATCTATTTCCTTCGTTAAAATAACTTAATATTAATAAGTACGATTGATTTTATTCCAGGGGACATAAAACATAAAAATAATGGAAAACTCTATTTTGTTCCAATGAGGGTTTAAACGTCAGTTCTATTAAAATGTCTAGTTTACCTGTTTTGGGTCTGGATCCCTCAGGGCCGTATCTTCCGATCGCCCCCTTCCCCTTCCTCACGAATGCCTCTACGATCTGTGCTCGACCCTCCAGGTTCTTCCCCAGTCCTCCCCCCGCCTTATATCCCATCTTTAACAGCAGTTTAGCACCAATACCCTGAACACGGTACAAATGAATAAATTACATTTAAACAGTTTTGCAAGCATATGTAAATAATGTCATTATTATGTTTTTGTTATTTTTATTTTCTTCGTATTTCATTTGTACTTTATTTAGATCGTGTTTTTAAATGAATTTTATTACTTTCGCCATTTTCTGTAGATTTACTAGATGTACTAGATGTACTAGATGTACTAGATGTACAAGATGTACTAGATGTACTAGATGTACTAGATGTACTAGATGTACTAGATGTACTAGATGTACTAGATGTACTAGATGTACTAGATGTACTAGATGTACTAGATGTACAAGATGTACTAGATGTACTAGATGTACTAGATGTACTAGATATACTAGATGTAGCACTATAAATAGTAGAAATAACGGATAGGTTGAAGAGGCAGAATTCTAACTAATTTATTTATGTACTACACAAAGGCTGATAAGGAAAAATGAAGATTTCGGAAACAAACAAACAGAAATAAATAAATCTAATAAGTAATCATTGTCATCCTTCAATCCAAAACAAAAACCATCTTGAACATCTCAACATACTAGTGGTATCCACTGGACCATTAGGAATCTAGATAGTGGATAGTGTACAAAAGAGCTTATGGCAAACCACCATCGGCTTTACTCCCACCCCTGGATTTACACTCAGCTCTGAACAAAGTAAATTCATAGAAACTTTAATGGAAGGGAGCTCAAGCTTGAAATATCTGATTGAAGTATTATTATTATACAGTACATTTACGTTATGTACCATTTATACCATTGTTTACCTTCGTGTGTTTTTCCCATAACATAGGTCGTAGTTAAAT